ATATTAATGTCAAATTGACATGATCTAGATGGCTAGTACATCAGTACAATAATACATTTTAGTGTTGGATGCCATATGTCTATTGTATATTGCTAGTTGTTTATAGTTTTAACAAATTCAGCTGAATATTCCTCATGTGACAGTGTCATATGCTTTGTATATATTTGGATTTTTATTTGTATTGTAACCCAAATTTAGATTGAATTTTTTTTTCCCCCTTTCTATTTGGTAAACTAAAGGTATTTGTTTTGGATATGTTTTGTTTATTTTTTTATTTTTATCTAATTGCCTCAGTTTTAGGCTGGTTGGAGATCGTCTCGAGTGCCAGATCACCAGTACCATGGCATATTTCACCGTGGGATAATGAGTTGAGTAAAAATAATTGATTGCTGTTAGTATAATTCAACTGATATTATTACATATATCTATTCATTGTCACATGAGTGTTTAGATTTCAGCTTTTCATTTAAATAAATGAAGGAGATATGCCTCATCAACAGAGGTAAGAATAATGAAAATCACATTGTCATGTTTCAGTTTGAAATGTCTGTAAGCGATGTTTGTCATTTTACCAATAATGTTTTATCTGATATTGTTTTTTTGTATTGATATTTGTAAAATTCAATAAATTCTTCCAAGCTTTACAGCTTGATATTTGGTAAGAGTATACAAGTCTTAGCTCTAAAGTGAATTGGCATTATTGTGGTGAGTACATTACCATTTTCACTGTAAAGACATTTTGATTTTTTTTAAAGAGGAATGATAAATATAAAAATGCCTAATAATAAGAATGTATTTATCAAAAGTTATTAAAAAATGTACAAAAAATGATTTTACAGGTACAATATTAGAAATAAGATTTTTCAAATAATGATTTTAAGTTATTGTTGTAGTTAAAAAAGAATTTCAATGCATTGATTTACTATTCATAAATAATTCATTCATTTATGTTTATGCATTGTTTTCATAATGTTACCATTTGATTAATTTTAACTTTATTTACTATTTTCATCATGATTATGCCATGTCTATCTGAAAACAGAATAGATTGAAGAAATAAAGTTGAGAGTAAGATCTTTCAAATTTAAAATCACATTATTTTCATATGTAGTGCATTGTTTAGTATATAAGTAGGAATAGATTGAATGTAGAACATTCCTCATTTATATTAAAATGTGCTGTTTTGGCAGCACCTACACCATATCATTGTGTTATTCAATCTTTATTTTCAGTTCATATTACAGTTTTTTCTTAATGAATATAAATTTACATTCCATTTATTTTCATTTTATTATTATTAAAGTTATGAATAAAAAAATCCATCAATATATACCGATTCTTGCTGTTTGGAGAATAAAATCTGTGAAAATACAGAACAGGCTATTATATATCCTTTAAATTGTATAAAATCTGATTATAAAAAAATATATATATATATAAATAAAATTGAAACATGCTGTTATCTTTATACATTTTACATTTCAGAAAATAGAAATTGAGCACTGCATGTTTGGAAAATGCTTTGTGATGTTTTCTGTGACTTTTTTTAATTCATTCAGCACTGGTTTTGTGGTAAACTTAATGTAATTTAAAATAAAATATCTTTTAATTGTTTCACATTTTGTTTATTTGTAAATTGAAATTTTCATTTTTTTTTTAAATTTTGATACACCACAAAATTTCAATGTCTCTCATCAGATTTAATTTATAAACATATTAAAACTTTTTAACCATAAATATCTGTAGATGATTTGAAACATCAATTATATACTATGAAAAGCAGTAACAAAGAACCTTTATAAATTAAAATTGCATATGTGAATAGCAGAGTTTTGCTTACACAGTAAATAAGGAAACTGAGTTAATTCAAAACTAAACATTTTCTGGTAAATGCGTAAAGTAATACAAAATTTTGTTATAATAGTTTATCTGTCACTTTAAATATTAACGATTAAGCTGCATTGGCTAACTTCTACTTTTTGCAATTGTTAGTAATTTAGATATTGTATGAACTATAGTGTAAGGAATTCATTTATGCATTTTACACCATACACTGTATAGGGCATATTTTGCTAATATTGACATATTTATAAATAGTTACTGAATTAATTTGAGTGTTAAAATAAATATTTAGCTATTAAGAATTAAGTATTTTTATCTAACAATATATATCTATACAAAAATTGCTATTATTTGTTAAGATAATTGAAATTTTAAACACTTTGAAAAATGTCTTTGATATTAAGAATGCATTTATTTCAACAGCCAGTCATTTAATAAAAATTTCCTGTTATGACTTTTTTAAGATATAATTTCCTTTTAGGTTAACTAATAATTGTTTGCATAATAATAATAATTTATGCTCTTTGGGATGAATATATAATTTGATAACATACAATTTTAATGCATATGATACTAAAATGATATATAAATTTATAACAATATTTACTACGTAGTATTGTATCAGTACTTTAATCATGAATAATAATAATAATTAACTATTAATGATTATGATGACTGAAAGGCTTTTATTTAGAAAGTATTGTACTTATTTAGTTTCCTATGTTGTATTGCATTTACTCTTCATATTCAATAAACTAATATATTAATGAAAACGGTATTTACAATATTAAAAACAGCAAAGACATGTTTTTAAATATTTATTATTGATTTATTGGCATATGAATTTATTAATAATAGTAATAAATAATTTATTTGAATATCAAGGGTCTAATTTACTGAATTAAAATCAAAAGATCAACAAACTGCCTTTTGTTACTAATTCATAACAAAGTTTTATGTAACAGTTTAAACTGAAATTTAAATTAAATAGGATTAAATCAGCTGGATAGGGAAAAGTTAACTTAACAATATATAAAGGATACAAAGAAAAGTTTTAATTTTGATTAAATGCCAAGTATCTGTCTGTGGACTATGTAAAATTTAGTCTTGCATTCATGTGATAGTGATCAGAGATCATATTTATATAAACTCACTGAAGTGGCGTGTATATTATTGAAACAGTTTAATAGCAATAATTATGATTCCGTTATTCGGATCAAAATATACAATAGAAGAGAATTCTGTTAAAACTATAATTTTCTCTAATTCAATGAGATATTCAACAATCACAGTTAGCATTAGAATATGATTGACAATTGAGTAAATAATTCATTTGAAAATAATTGTAGTATTGATTTAAATAAATTATTTAGTCAAATTACTGATACAATATCTCATACCTTAAGTTAACCATTTAAAAACGTTTTATTCACAAGGTAATTAAATATTTAAGCATAAGTAATGTTATGAAAGTGATTTTTCTGAATACAGTAAACTAATGATTGCAACTTTTTCCTACAGTACATTTGAGAAAAAATTATTAATTTATTAAAATTTCTTTTTCATTTCTTAACTCAAAATTTTTTAACTTTATTTTTGATATATTAGAATTTAATTGTAAATAAAAGATTTGGAGTTTTATGCTGTAGTTAAGATTAAATACTTATATATATATATTTATAGGACACTGCTGATTATTTTGTCTTAAAGGTACAATTTAAGACAAAATAATCGACTATTTTAAATTTTACTTCATTTAAACTTAACATATTCTTACATGTTATTAACAGCTTCACAATATTTTATAAAATATCATTTTTTTATCACTTGAAGTTCTATATTGGAAAAAAAAAATTTAAATGCTATTTTAGTATGAAACTAACACACACACAAATACATGTAAATGGATCTGTTTCATATCAAAGGAATTTATAAAGAATTAAGTTTATTGGTCTTTTGATTTTATGTGTGTTTAATTTTTAATAATTTTTGGATTGATGATGATGATGATAAAATTCTGATTGATTTCATAGAAAAGAAATCTTTAAAAGTTTTAAAAATTGATTATAATATGTTTTCTGTGAGAGAATTTATTTATGATTTATATTAAGCAAGTGATGTTTTTTAAATTAGTTTTAAATTGTGATGTGAAGACAATTATTATTATTATTGGATTTTATTCAGCCAAGTTAGTTTTTGTATATACTAATCAGCAACTATTAATGCAAAGTTTAAAATACAAAATATATTTGAAATTTTCTTTATATAAATAACAGAATTTTTGTATTATTGAATTTACATGAATTTTAGGCATATCTATTGCAACCGAAATTACATTAACATAATGAAATAAAGATTACAACAATAAGTAGACTAAAATAGCTCCACCTTATATTTGATGATGGTACTTCATCATATTCTTATTTATTTACATGTCTTCATTGGAAAAAAACAAGAAATACTGATTAAAAAAATTTCAAATAAGCAAGTAATAATTCTGGATCATAGTGTAAACATCTAATAATAATGTTAATATTTACAACAGATCTAAATGAGATCTTAATCTAGCACAATCAGCATTTTATATACACATATATTTTAAAAGAAGTAGGATTTTAGCAATGTTTAGTCATGCTGTATTTGATTAAAACTTGTTATTCTTGCAAAATTTATCTGTAAATATATATATAATTTGTTTTGATAAAAATTCTAAGTTCTTTTAATTTTTGAAAGTTACAATAATGAGATATTTGAAAAAATTAACAATTCTGCATCTGGTTAAAACTTACATTACGTTTACGATAAAATTATTACAAGAATGTTGTTAAAGATTACATTTCTGATTAGAAACGTTTTAAAAATCAGACATGTAAAGTCTGTTAGCTGATTACCTGCTTAAAATTATCATCCCATACAATTTTTTATATGTTGACATAGGTATATAATCTGTGAAGAAATATTTATTGTGCTCATTTTTCATAGATTCATTTCAGTCAGTGTTTCACTGATATTTTCAGTCAGTTAATTCAGTAAATCAGATAAATAACCTGATTAAATGCCTCATCTTATCAACTATTGTAATGATTATTACATAGGCCTACTGTATTTATATTTATTTTTATCTTCAGTTAGTCAATTCAATAATTTTGTTTTTGTAGAGTTCAGCTTTTCCTGTTGGTACCATTAAATGAAAAAATGATTAAGTAAGTGGAATCCATACAAGGGAATTTGGGGATAATTGGATTCACCAGCCGTTGACATTCATTCATGGATGTAGCAACAGAAAGGAAAATAACTACAGATTTAATAGTACACAAATAATTTGTGACAAGATGGTTGGCATGATCATCAATATAAAACCCTATCCAGGTCTGTATTGGTGATTCTAGCATTTCTTTACAGCTGGTGATGGTCAGTGTGTTCGAACGTACAAAGAGTCAATCAAATTTTGTACATTCGTATACATTTCGGTAGATAAGTTAAAATGGGTAACGGAAAACTGAATGTATATTTTATATTTATGACAATTTGTTATTAAAGCATTTTTAATCACTAGATTGTTGTACTTTTCTGTTTTTAAATTAATCATATAAGTTTGATTGTCAGACTGCAAAAAGTGATGATCATTTAATTTTTGCATTTGACTCTTAATTATCCAGGATCAAAGTTTACTATGTTGTAAGAAGTATTTTAGAAAACTTTTTTCAAATTTGTTATTGTTTTATATAAAAATTGTGATTTGAATTATAAAATTAATTTTATAAATAATGCATTATTTTGGAGAGTTGAGAGTCAAGTGTAACTTTATAAATATTTAAGATAACTTAATAACTGCTTTGTGATGATTTCAAGAATAAAACTATCAGAAAATGGCACTTTTAGTCAAGATAATATGGTAGAAACTCCTGATGCTATGAAGGGGAGGAATGCCAGATGGTAGAAATCATGCTTTAGAGTTCTTTTCTCTTCACTTCATGCTTAATTATATACATATTTTGCTAAAAAGGTAATAACATGTTTGTTAACCATACTTTCTATATTAAAACAACTGAAAGTTTATAACCTCCTTTAAGGAAACTAATTCATGATATTTTTTTATTCTGTATTACTAAAGGTCACTTGAACATAATCTAAAATTTATTTTTTAATGATCTTGAATACCGGGATTTCTGTTGATTGAAAAGCAGCTAATCAAGTTTTTATTATACTTAATTTTATCATTAATGATTACATTACATTCCCATCATATTCTCTCTTTTTACTTATTTGGAGAAATGAATTATTGTGACTTCAATTCTGAATAATAATGCATTTGATATCTTAGCAATTCTTTTCACTGATTATTAGGAATCATTTTATGATGTAAAACATGTGTAATATGTAGTTAATTATATTGGTGATACTGTAATCATTACAAATGAATTTGAAAATTATACATAAACATATTACATAAAGCTCTTCTGTATTGAAACAAATTGTTATCAGCTTATGCTATGTAGGAGTTACAAATAAAAACAATTTTTTTCCAACTCATCTTAAATATTTTGCTAATTAATCAGAGATGATTTTAAAAAATTTTGAAAGAATTATAATATATTTTAGTAAATCAAGCATTTTGTCTTCAAAGAAGTTTTTCTAATGTCATTAAATGTTTTTATTACTCATCAAAACTATCTGTAATAATACACTCATGAAATCATTTTATATATATGATTGTCATATTAATTTTGCATGTTTTTGAGGTTAATANTATCAAAACATTTTTACTGTGTGCAAAATTTTTCAGAAACAATACTTTATAAATTTTTTATTATTATTATTACTGGGAAGGTGGTGAAATACTTATTTAAAATATAATTTTTATTTACTATTTTATCAACTAAGGAAGCTTGTTTCCATTACTCATAACATAGCCTAGAAATCATAATTTCATTTGTTTTTCTACATTTTTATTATGTACCATTTAGTTTTCATGCTTTCTATGAAATTGATTGTTAGAATATCAGTAGATATAATTTATTTTCCATATTGTGTTGCTATTTATAATTTACAGATAATTGTTTACACTATAACTAGAGAATTATCTTTGAGCCTTGCTAAGATTTCGATGATTACATTTACGATGATTATATTTACAGAACGAAGCACCATTTACTTAAACATTAATCACTTCCCATCACATTAGGTCTACGTTCCCCAAGATTTTCAACGATCAAAATTTCCTTTGTCCAAAATTACATAACCTTATGTGGAAGCACAGGCATTATGCATCAGAAGTATTAGAATTTATTGGTTTGCATATTAAATTTTTATATTAGTTTATTCAAACACGTAAAAAAATGGTCAATTCATAACTGATTTTCAGCCGTAATCTACATTTACTGGTACATATACAAAAAGCAAAGTTTGAGTGTAAAAATACAAATATTACAGTAACCTTATAAAGGCTAAGGTTATGAGAGGTTATGAAGGAAAATATCTCGCTGATGAGACACAATATATAAATAATCAATGAAATTTCATTGTGTTGTGAACCGACGTTTAGTTACTGTTTCGTTCTAATTTATAAACAAAATTTTTATGTATGGAACGTTACAAAATTAGAGATTTTAGTAGGTGCTAAGTTATTCGAACACACAAGCTAAACATCGAAGTGTCCACGAAAATAATAGTGAAATACTCAAAATCCAAATTTAACCGAATTTAATATTGAGATTCTTAGTTCTGCAGATCTTGTGATTCAAGAGTGTTAGCTACCTGAAAGTTTTTGGAAATCAAATTACACTAATTTATGACCATTTTGCGATTGGTTCAAGTTAAGATTTTATGGAGTTTTTAAAATCAGTTTCGGAAATGATTCTTGTTCATGCAGTTAACTTGAAGGAAACCTATAAAACTACGTAATTCTAAATGCCAAAAAACTATACTGTAGATATGTAGACAAGTTACAAGGCTGATACTGGGACTACGGGGTGATTTTACCAAGTGATTTCTTTGTCTTTGGGATAGTAAATCTACTATCCCAATCATTTTAAAATAAAAGAATGGCCTCAGAGAGATGGATTTGTTCCATGTCAAGCTAATGTAAAGAACCTCTAGTTGATACCAAAAAATCTTGTTACTCTCACTGTATACAGTATATAATTTGGATTAATGAAAGCCGTCAAAGTACTATGGAGAAAGAAGGCGTTCTTTTCAAATGCCTTAAACGGATTTTTTTTTTCAAACTTAAGTGATGTTAAGCTTAAACAAGGAATATTGTTGGACCTCTAATCAAAATTATTGCAGGATGACAATATATTAGAAATTGAATGACGTTGAATTAAGTGTATGGACGTCCTTTAAAATGTCTTCACTTGTCGCCATGTCCAATCACCAGAAACAGCTTTTCATTAAATTGTAAATTCGTCAGCCCTTTCATAAAACTTATTCGACTTGTACGTGAAAAACGGTAAAGTATAAAACGTTTTTTCTATTCTTCCGGCGACTAGGCTAGATATTTATTGGTCAAAAGTACTTGGCTATTGTAACTCGATTACACGATAAATATCACAATGAACATTTTTGATTGAGTGCAATACTGTCGGACATACACGCATTGTTTGCTATCCTGAGACACGTTCTAAGGCGTCATAATTGCATAGGGCACGAACTTCGACGACAGAAAAAAACAAGAGGTCTCTGAGATTCGAACTCTGATCGCTTACCGTTACACCACGAGACCTCCGGATGAGTTGCTTCTCGAAAGCCCATTTATAAGCCAATCAGCGTACCAACGGACATTACTTGGTTCGTTCGTCACATGCAACGGAGATTTGAATGTCGCAAAAGAGTTACCGTCCTTCGTCGTAGATCGCGCGGGGCGGAACATCCTCGCCTTTCGCGTTAACTAACTAACTTGATGGGCGTCGTTTAAATATTCGGCTGAAATTCGTTAAGTATTTTCGATCGCACGCTGTCTTTCGTTGTGGTAATCGCGACGCTCTTCAACTGACACTTCGTGCAATGCAAGTGTGTGTATTGTGCTTCTGTCGTGCGAGCGCCGTGACCGCTTCCGATAAAAACAGTAGTACGCTTGAAACGAATTAACGATTCGACTATTTACACACCGATCACGGACAGCCATCGACAATTTACGATCCGTTTGCTTTCCACGCGACGAAACGAAACACGTTTATTAAATTCTTTTTCACCACAGATTTGTGACAACAGCTACGCTTTTTAACGAGAAAGTGTAGACGTAGAGATTTCCATTATCGGCAACAAGAGATGCGGCGATAATCGATAAGGCAATCTGCAATGCATTAATGTGACATGCAGGTCTGTATGATGGTTGGCACTCTGGGCTCTGAATCCAGTGATCCGAGTTCAAATCTCGGTGGAGCCTTTTCATCTTCTTCGCCCCTGTCATCGTTTATGCAATTGAAGGCGACAGCGACAGTAGAATTCAGAAACTTCTTTTGTTTTGAATTTAGAACAGAAACTCTGCTTCACACACCTGTGGCGAAGCAGTGTTTCGATATACAGTATTTACTCTACTTTTCCGATGCTTTCAACACGTTGCAAAGTTCTGACCCAATTAGCATTACTGTTTCGAATCAAAAGAATTACAAAATGTCTTACAGACGCTTACGTCACACTAAAATAGACATTTTCAATCAACCGCTCGTAAGAAAAGTTCGTGTCGGGAGTGGGATTCGAACCCACACCCACTATCGGAATGCACGCTCCCGTATTTACCTTCAGTCTTGTGTTTAGACCGCTCGACCATCTGACGTTATTCTGCGGTTACGGTTGATGCCTAATCAATGGTGAATATTCATTTCTCATTCGACCGACATTCTAGATCGAAGAGTATTTTTCCTCCATTATTTTGAATGCAGATAAAAAAAAACGTTTTCAATAAATTAACGAGCAATTATTTATTGTGACATTGTCACAATGCCGAGCTGCGATTTTTAAATATATTTTTTATTTATATCATTTATATGCTCTCCATCTGAAATTAGTAGTGGCTGGCACCTGTACGTCATACTTCTTTAACACCTTAACGTTTGTTTTTCTTTTTTACCCAGGCAACGCCAGGCTTCGACTCGTTCGATTTCATATTTATTTTCACTTCGCGGTCCTTCTCTGTTCTTTCTCCGTTATTTACGCGTGTAGGACATTTCATTGTTATCCACATTTGATATCATCACTTATCACATACTGCCATGACGCTCATGTGTCAAGAATTAACGCGATTGGCGAAGCGTAGTGACAGCGGGCCAATAGAGAGCGGGGTCGTTGCCATAATGCGGTTTGCGCGCCAATTTTCGTACGTGCGATAATCGAGCCGAATATTCGGCCACGCTCCTGGCCGAATATACTATTCGTTACAACACTAGAAATTATCCATTCTACAAGCGAAAAACAAACGAGTATTAAATATTGTAGAAATTAAGACAATATTAAAAAATGAAATGAAAATTTAATAACATAAAACGACCATTTTCTATCGTATTTAAGTATAAGAAAAATTCTAATCATTATTTTGTTGATTGTCATTAAAACTAATGAAAATATTCTAGAAGAAATTAATGACGAATAAACTCATTTATTCTAATTCATTAAAGGTCAGATTAATTATCAATATAATAATGTCATATGGGATGTAATGTATACTCATATGTAATATACAAAATTATAACGGGAAAAGACAGAATTCGAGTTTGCTTTAACAATTCGATTCGATTGACGAAAATTAACAATGAAAAGATTGAATGCACTTTTCCAAAATAAGTCAAAGGTTCGATTCTTCTCTTTGAAGAAACCACACGACGGTTGTTATCGAAATATTCGTTGTGGGAAAATTATCGCTGCTAACTGATTTAGTACCTAACAATGTTAAAAAAATACCTAAATCTAGAAAGATCAGGGACTAAACTTACCCAAAATAAAGGCAAAAACTACAGCAAAACTCCGAAAATACTCCAAACAATCGCATTGGAACAAAGCAACAGACAATTGTCGGAATTCTATTGTTGCGTCGCGACTCAATTTAATGCAAAAAATTTCGATTTCGGGGGCTTTTTGTCTGTAGTCTTTCACTCACGCCCACAGACACGAGGCGTAATCCATTTTGTTAGACGCTCATAAACTAAGTTGATTCCACTTAAATTGAGCAATGGTAGAAACTTCCGGAACTGTTGTTGGGCTGCAATTTGAACCTATTGTAGATCTATAAATGCCCACTGTCTGGCCTTCCTTAATCTCGAGAGCGCAGTTAGGTAGATGAAAGTCGAGATCAGATATGAAAAGATTAGGAGTATATACGAACTTCCGATGCAAGGCGGAAGCCACCTTATTTCCATTCAAAACATTTCCCCCGAAAGGAGTTAAACAGATGACATGAACGGTATGATGTACGGGGGCGAGACACTACAGTAGTAATTTGAGGTGGACAGCATATATTTTAAATTAAATAATTTTAAAATATGATTAACACGACAAACATGCAAACTTTAATTAAAATCTAATTAAAGTGTTTAAATCGCAGTAATGTTTTTTGGTTTAATAAAAATACGTAATAGACACTTAAAGGAGTTGTGACAGTTTTTCGGCAATAGAAAAATAAGTTTTGAGAACGATAAGGTTTAGGTGTGATCAGAGTTAAATAAAACTTTGGGCATAAACAGAAGAATTTAGTGAACTGTGCGGTGTTAATTTAATATCAATTATATTGTATTGTGTAACACGTGCGCTTAGAAGTAAGAATGCAGTATGCACTAGTACAGTAGATTCTTGAACAATGGGCAAAGCCATATTGATCAAGAATCTACTGTACAGTACTTGTTACATCATTCGATTTATTCCTTTATTTTAATACTAATAATTGTATTTCTGACGTAAGCATGATAAGCATGTATTTCTGACGTAAGCATGATTGGATGGACTTCTCCAGAGTTAATACATATGATAGTCGATAGCAGGCGCTCAAATCGCTTTACGTCGGGAAGAAGCCGTTTTATCCATTTGGAGGATAGTATTACTGTTTTCGAGCAGTTATATAACTTTCTTCCTACTGTTTCGTTGAGAAAAATCCTATTAAAAAATGTAATTACTAATATACTTTTTTTTCTAAACACACTGTATTTTTTTCTTTTTGGAAAAATTCAATAAAGTAATTAGAAATTACAGTCAAGGACGTGGCTAAATTAAATCGAAAATAAGTTTTTAAGAGAGATTAAAAAAAAAACATGGAAGAGTGACGAGTGGATAAAACCATTGAACACTGGTCGTGGATCCGGGCCTCGCCAGCGGACTGGTAACGTAGAGTTTTCCGGATTTTTTTCACTTGTAACACCTAAATAGGGGCCAGTTCCCTCTCAAAGTCCTCCCCGCAGATCGCCTGTGTCGCGTTGCCGTATGTAAATAAAATCAAACCAAAAAAGTTTTTTGCATAATCTATGTACTGTACACGACATATGTTCTTAATAAATAGGTGCATATGTATTTTTCTGTTATATTCTATTACATATATAAGATAGCATAATTGTGAAAACCATAGCTTATCCTCTGATGCATTTAAACAATAGAAATTTAAACTAGATAAAGGCAAATTTTATAAGTAATTTATTAATTTTAATACTACTAAAGTAAACAATTTTACTTGATTCGGTACAGTGAGAAACAGAATTTGGGATGAAATACAGTTTTGTATTTTTGACGTAGGAAATTACATTTCTTATGACATTCACATCGGGTCTACTTATTTTGGTAGTTTATAAGATATTCTGCACCAGCAAGATTTATTGATAGCCTACTGAGACTTTTGGATCCCAAAGCGCTCTGGTTGTATCACTGAAATCTTCATAAAGCAATAATGTAGCGTCTAATATGACAAACGTTTATTTACTTTCACACAGTGTGTACCACAATTACACGTACCTTACAAAAAAAAACAGTAATTTCGATACGACGGCCGGGGGACCGAGCGGTCAAAGTAGCAGCCTACCTCTTTGGGGGACCCGGCGTCGAATCCGGACGGGCCGAAAAATTCCCCAGGAAATTTTTTGGGGGGGTGATCCGACCGGATATGCCGGCTCCCGTTCCGTTGTGGGCCTGGCCGAACCCATAATGGGCGAAAAGTTGTTTGGAAACCGATTTATTTATTCTCAAACCGAAACAATCCGTTTCCGACCACCAAAACATTTTTTTAAACCTTTTTACATGTATTTCTTGCATAAAATTGCCTACAAATGCAATATATTATCTATATTTATTCTATTTATAGGCATATAATTAACAGATGAATAGACATCTTACTTAAAAATGAATTATTTTATATAAAAAAAATTAATATTGTAAGATTGAGATGGAATTATGAAAAAAATAAAACATAAGGGGACTTAAAATTTGATATTTTCCCATAGAGAGAAGTGCTATTATTAGTAGTAATTGAACTTTCTGTAATGCCTAAGTATATAGCCTAAAAAACATTACTGTTTGCATTTATAAATTCATTACTCACATGACACATGAAAACATCATATTGTTTGGATATTATTATTTTGGAAAGGATACTTATGATACAGGGTTGAAGACTAAAATCACCTCTCGCAAGGACCGAGGAGGGAATTACCTTAGCGACGAAAATGTGGCTACTCAATGTCTGGGATGGAAGGCTTTTAATATTTTTTATAGAGCCGAGGATACTGAAGGCATCAATCAATGTTTAATAGGCTATGTCTTTGTTTTGATTATCGTTCTTCTGATTTTTCAGGTCAGTCTTTTACTTACATTTTAATTTATTTGTTTAAAATACTTATTATAAAATTTTTTGCTTTTATTTGATCTAAATTGGGCTCTATATCCTCCTGGCGCTTTTTCGGTGTCTTGTGATATTCAGTATTTTTTAACGTAATGTGTTTCTGTTAAAATTTTTGTGGCATAATGGTGGCTTTTCACAACCATTTGAAAGTCCTTTAAGATATACGAATATCAAGGTTCTATTTTAGTTATTAATAACATAGATAGTCTTCGATGTTATGTAATTATAATCTATGCTTTCCATCCAAAACATATTACCATTTTTACATTCCTTCAGCACATTTCTTCTTGATACTGGCTTTAGTAAACAGACAATGCAGAAGACGTACGAACAATCTTTTTACTTCCTCTTTAGGGGAATTTTTACCATACAAAAGAATCAATATTGATAGTCTAAAAAAAAATTACGAAATCATTCTAGAACGTTGTGGCGCCGATGGAAACCTCCGAACTCTGTATCTATACCATATTACAATTAATAATAATATTAAATTACATTATTTTCATTTACATCCCGAAACACAGTATCAACCGCTAAGTATTAGAAATACGAATACAGTAGAGCGTCGATTATCCGAATCAATTGGGGAATGGGGTTGTTCGGAAGATCGATGTTTCGGATAACCGATTATGTACGAAAAAATATATTAATTTATCCCATCTTGACATTTTTCTCCGTTGCGTGTCGCTTCGCGTTGAATTTTCGTCGATGTTAAGCCTAATGAAGACTATTATATCGTTAAAAATTATTTTTTTTTATTTTGTACGAACAAAATAAATATATTGAAAAATATAAAAACAATAAAAATTTATACTTCAGAAGTTAATTTAGTATCAAAAACGTAAAATATTTGAGTGGCCCAAGACATAGCCAAAGATTGCAGCGCCACAGCACTGGCGAAAATTTAAATTTGCCGACTGGAATTCTTTCGGATGATTGACTTTCGGATAATCGACGCTCTACTGTATTAAACTTTATATATGCAATCCCTTCTTTAAACCATTTTACCACGAAGTTTTTACGACTCCCTTTTATAATATATGGTGCAAAGCAAATCCCTGAATGGGCAAAATCTAAAATCATGAAATTCATTTATACTTTCTAGTATATTTTAATATTCGAAACTTCGTATTCTAGATTTACATACCAAAATGTACGAAATTGCAGTTATGAACAATCAAAATACATCTTTGACTTAATGCCTTATAAGATACATTACGTCCAAAAGCTGTTAACATTTCGTTATATAATTATATTTACATAAATCTTCGATGTTTTTTAATAAACATCATTAATTAATCTCTGAATGCTAAAGCAGTTAAAGCTTTCTGATGACCGCTATACTCGCGTTTCATTTCTCCAGTCGATACACTCCACAATCTTGCCAGATTATCGGAAGATGCTACAAATACGAATAAATAATCAAGAAGAAGAAAAAAAACCGATAGTAAATTAACAAATTATATTCTTTCCAATAACTTGGCTTACCCGTAATGGCGTACTGAGAATCTGCACTGAATGCCACGTCCCATACCCATCGTTGATTTACGTCTTTTAATTCCACCATGGGAGTCACTTCAGTGGTTTTCCAATTGTGTATCAATATTTCTTGACTTGAAGTATCTTTTTGGCTCATCAGCAATTGTAAATCGGCCGTTCTCCAGATTTTCCCTGTGGAATCTGCCGATGTAGTTACCAGCAATCTATAAGAAATGTTTTTAAAATAAATTGTCAGAAATTGGACAACACTACAACGCTCTGGCTTCGTGCACTGCTGGAGAGGGACCTCCATTTTTTATCGGTCCATTGTTTTATGTTCTCTTGCATCAAGTATTATTTATTACTGTTTATTTGAAACTGTATCATCTGTCAAAGATATTACTCTTCCTCCTGACTTTTAATGGCATCTGTTTTTTAGTTTTCTATTGAATATGCCTTGTATAATTTATTATGTGCATCAAATTAACCTTTTGTACTCGGCCCAAATCATACTGTATGTAGTTTTAACTTTCAGTTATGGTTGCCATACGTCCTTATTTAGTATGGACAGACCGTATTTTTCAACTGATTGAACAGTTAATAGTTAAATCATAATCACCTACATTTAAATCTGACAAAAGGTGTTAAATAATTATTATTGTATTTATTGGCTAGATGGCAAAGTTGTATATGCAAATGTAACGTAATTTCTCGAGTCACACGATTAACGTAACTCAAGAGACAACATTTGTTATGACTTTATCCATACTGCACTAGTGTTTGACGTAAAAAAATTCAAATTCCACTCAGATATTAACTTTTTAATATTCAAATTGTAATTATTATGTCAAAATCAAAACTGGAAGAAATAATAAATAAATGCTCGTTTTATTATGTGTTTTGATATGGTCATAATGCCAGGCTGCAATTTTTTATCATATATATGCTTTCCACCTGAAATTAGTAGTGTCCTGCTCCTGTATACCATACTTTTTCTGTTGGCAATAGAGTCATGCCGATCATCTAATTAACTCCTTTCGGGGGGAGCATTTTTTAAAATTGAAATAACGTGACTTACGGCTTGCATCAGAAGTTCATATATACTGCTCCTGCTCCTAATCTTTCCATATCTGGTCTTGTCTTTCATCTATCTAACTCCATTCTTGAGATTAAGGAGAGAAAGCAGACAAGACTACAATGGGAATTTATAGGTGTACAATTTTTTCAAATTGCACCCTAATGAAAACTGTACAGACTTTTGCAGCAAAAAGTTTATGGAACAAATGTTTTCAGTTTATGTTATAAACCTGTCTCAGGTTTCAAACTACAAAATTAATAGTTTGAAACCTGAGGCAGGTTTATAAAATAGACCGAAAACGTTTGTTCCGAAAACTCCTTTTGCCGGAGAAGTGTGTATAGTTTTCATTTTATTCTACGAAAGATAAATCCTAAGGTGTTAAAAATAGCATAATTAATACAGATTTGCATTGCAAAGAAAAGAAAAATTTTGATCATAAACCAAACTGTGATAAAGTTTTTAAACTTTAAAGAAATTGTCACTATACTAAATGTTTTTGGAAATCAGATTGTGCATTTAAAATAACTTTAGATGCATTTATTTAAAAGTATTATCTAATTATCTAAATTATATAAAGTGTCTATAATCATTCTATCAAATTTTGAGAGTTTGTTCAGTTTCAAAAGAAGTTATTCTTCATTTAAAATTGGAAGGTTATAAAATTATAGTGTAATAAACTAGAAGGCTATAATGATTGAGTTTAGGTTCACTAATATAAGAGAATGTAAATTGTATCCAAATATAAGATAAGAACATCATTTTTTGAATATGAGAATAAATATAGGATCCAGATGAATGTCCAAGAACTTTTTATTAAATGTAAATACTATCGGCCAACTTTAAGCGACCTATTTGTCTTTTCATAATGGCAATGCCGCTGGAGGATGTTTCAAACCAATTTGCATTATTTCAGAGGCGTAGCCTCAATTAAAAAGTTGTTTCTGGATGAAGATTGTATGTCGCTGGTGACTGAAGACTGATGTCTGAAGACTTTTTGTATCTTTTGTATTTTTATATTTTGTTAAATAAATATAAGAGCTGACTAAAGTTATTCTGTAAGAAATCTACTAAATTGTTGAGATTGCATCACGAAATTCTAGTAAAATTAATTTAAGTATTACTATTTTCATTATTCAAAGTACGTATAATATCTTGTATATACATCAAATAAGAAAAAAAAGAAGCAAAAATATTCTCAAAAGAATCAATAATATCAAATTAAATGCTTCAAATGGATAACATTGATGTGAATTATTTTGGATTAAAACTAAAAAGAAAAATTAAAATCCTCAATTTTTCAATATATTAAATAAATTATGCACTTACGTGGAATCTGGACTAAATTTACATTTTAATGCGTAACGCTTATGGGCTTGAAGTTTTAACTGTCTTAATGGCTGAGGAGTTTTTCCATCTTCTGTTGTAGCAACACTAAACAGATAGCAGTAACCCTACAAAAATATAAGGAAACATTTTTTATTTATAATTTTAAATAATTAAATACTTTCACTTAGCAAATTAATTTTTTGTACGGGTACTGTAGCTGAATTTTCTTTATAAACAGTAAAAGGTCTATGAGGTGGGGAATAATTCAAAATTATAAGATGTGCTTTAATGGACTATATGAACAATTGTTACATAGCATTTGAATTATCTCACTCATCTTCGAGAATGTTAATAAAAAAATTTATTTACAAATATTTCAAGCTATGTCACAAAGCAAATGGTAGCGATCTCCCTGAATGAAGAACACTTTGCTATGGGAGTTTAAAGAAAATTCAGTTCTTCTGGAATTAAAAAATTAATAATAAGGGCAGATTATTAAGTGATAAAATAAATTAAAGTACGAGATGATGTTTTTTTGATACAGTTACCTACAGAGCATTTTAGCCATTTCCAAGAATTCGCTAAGTTATCCGAGTCTCTATAATTGATTACACTAGTTACTAAGCTTCTCTTGTAGTACATCCATATAGACTTGGCAGTGAGGTAATTGGCTCCAGACTAAAGAGGTTTAAGCACTTCTTTGTCCCATACCGTGTTAAAATCCTGTCCAGTAGTGTTTATGTTAGGTTGGTTCCTGCTGTCATTCATATGTTCATTTGGTGTTACTTGTTACCCAAATATATTCTGAAGGGCAAACATATTCTAAATATAACAAACAGGCAAAAATTTCTAATATCCTCCCATCTAGGTTGATGTAACTATTGAAGTCCACTTACAACATTCAACAATAATGCATTCAAATTTATATTATTTCACAGACATCTATCAGGTTGCTTTATCCTCCTACCGAGTTTTGTAAACATTGGTTTGCTGGGTTTCAGGAAAATTCTTTCTCAGGATCTTCAACCAGTTGGATTTCTGAAGCTTTGTTTAAATGAAGAAACTTCTAAAGGGTAGAGACTCTGAAGGACACACTAATTATTTCTCCTTTACTAAGTCTTAGTTCTTGCACAACTTATCCCATCAGCACCAGGCAATAACTCAATTATCAACTGACGTCACATTAATCTCTTGCCCTGTACAATATAACCAACTTCAACATTGTCTTTATTACTATTCTTCCTTGGTTTGAAAGACAATAGGACTCCTAATATTCTATTCAAAATCTTTTGAATAATCCATGAACATCTTGCACCTAACATAACCTGCATTTTAGATAATTTATGTCAATGTTGACATTAATTCATGTATAATTTCCTACAGAAAATATGTAGGAGTCAATGCTTTTAAATCTAGATCAGCAGACGTGACTAAGAGGCCTCTTATGAAACTCTCATTATTTTACAAGCAAGTCAGGAAGCAATAGTGTCTACAAGCATGGTGGAAGAAAGCAAGATGTTCCATTGCACATTATTCATGACTTCATGTATAAACAGAGGGAAAACAAATACCAACAAAATCTTTAGATATTTTTTAATCTTAATTTTTAAACATTTCTTTAAATATCTGGAATTAACACCTTAATCACACATTTAATTTTTTGTATATAAGAAATCAAATACAAATTAAAAGTAATAAACAATTTTTAAAATGGTTTACTTGATATTTTTTTAATATAATATTAACCAAAGTATTTGTAAACTTTATCTTTTTTCTTGTTTTTTTCCTTTGTACATTAATTTCACTGATATTCATATTAATGCCAAGTACACAAATTATTATACATATTTTAATTATATATTTTATTACCTTTTCTAGTAAAGGCCAATTTAATTGCATTTGGACTCTTCTAAATACTTTGTTTATTATTTTAAAGTTAAAGTTTTGTTACCAATTTGCATACTATGGAAACACAAGATAAAGGAAAGTGAAGTCTTTATCATGTGCCCAACCCCCAAAATAAAGCTTTTTTTTAAATTTTTGGCTGTATTACATGCTAAAAATGCCTACAAATGCAATGTAATATTGTATATAATATAATAAATTTTTGTTATTTAAATTTCACTTAAGCACTTTTAAAAACAAATTCTTGGATGCCATTTATATTATGTGAATGTCAATTAATGTGATTTTAATTAATTGGATTTAAATTCAACTGCAGCACATCCCAAAAAATGGTAGTGGTATCTTTCTCGCATGTGCATCGAAATCTAATTTAACCACCAATGTCATTGACGATTCATGTCACAATCTCTAATGATCGGTGTAACTAACTGTCGAATCAGTAATCCTGTTGCTGATTGATTGGGTTGTCAACTTTCTTTAACATAGGAAGTGTAGGGAATTGACAGTCTGTTATCTGTAGATAACCTCTCTAATCTGTAGTCGGCTTTTGCCAAGTAGCTTGTTCAGCAATTGGGGCAAACATGAGTTCAAAATTCTGTGTGTGAACTAATTTGTTCGAAAAGTGAATCATTTGATAACAGAGATTTGACTGTAAATCCAAATATGGATTTGGTTTGTATTGTTCCTTCTCTATCAGTTGTTTTTTTTTATTTATTATAAAATGATGATTTTCTACAAGACTGTTTCCAACCTGAAAAGTTTTGTCTCCTGGTTTAATTTTTCTTTATGTGGAAACTGCTTGTGATTTAAGGTGATATAGTGCATTCTAGTGGCGTGCCGTGATATTTGACGATAGGGAAGCTGTGTTTCTGTAAGAAGCTGACTTCCAACGTACATAAAAATAACATATGATACGAAACATACATAAAAATAACTTAAAGAACCGTACATAAAAATAACATAAAATCTTCTTTACTTTTTAAATCTTATAACAATTCACTTAGTCAAATAGCTCCCTACGAGTGGCTAATGGATGGAATCAGATATGGTCCTGGTAGATGCATGCATGTGGGCTGCCAAATCCTTAGGGTGCCGATACTGGTCAATGTCAAATGCCTCTTTTGTCACATCACTAGTATACCTCAAAGGACACACCAGTAAACTCCTATCGGTGGATTAAGTTATAAATCTACTCATGATTTGCATAATGAGACGAGGGCAGCCAAATATCTAGCAGGCAGGCGGTTAACAGTCCAGAACCGGTCCTGGATAGAATCATTAGAAGCGTTGTATGTGTAGCTTCTACCGTGAGGTTGGTGCTCTGTAAAGCGCATGCGCGAATGCCTATAATCTGGCTGTTTTACACCATTCAAATATTTTTGTCGTGGAAGCTGTCCCGTATTCGACAATATGGCGCTTCCATTGGGAATATACATATACAAATTTATATTCGGATATACAATAGCAATAGGAAACAATATGGGTAACAAAGAAAAATGATGGAAATGCAAGTTTTCCTTTATTTTGATTTGACTGATTAGAACATCTAAATACCATGCATATAACCATTGCCAGAATGCAAAAATTGGTTATTTTCACTAATTTTATACTGTACGGTAACCAAATATATGAACTGACCATGGGCGGTTGTTTATAAGTGATGTCATGCACAAATCGGTGGTTTTTCTGATCCAGAAATGGAACATCTTGTTTTCTCCCACCATGGCTGCAAGTAACTCTAGCCTAGAAATACCTTTTTTCTTTTGTCAGAAGGTGAGATTCCAACTCTAGCTTATTAAGATTAAGATGTAAAAATGGGAGATATTTCATTTTTAACTCCCTAAACAATGATAAAAGAAATTATTTTGAAAAAGCAATGATAATGTTAAAAATTTTACAGGTAGATTTTGTTCATTGACATTATACTAATTACTTAAAATAATATACAATATTATTATATTTTACGGTTAATATGATAAAGAAAAGAAAGTTTTTATTAACTATAATTAAATGCTGGTTTAGCACAACGGGTTAAAACAATTTTTCCCATTACTAATAAGCATAGTCAAAATATCAGAAAAGTTAAGGTCAACTGGTTACAAGACTTCTCAATTAGCATGATTATCATTTCCTAAATAAATAATTGCCTTGAGTCAGGATAAACTTGAAATAAGTAAACATTGGCCCATAGCATATAGATAAGATATTGCCTGATTTTTAAAATAGTTTTACTAATTTTAATGAAATAGTTCCTAAACACGGAATAGAGGATGGTAAATATCAAAAGACAGTTTTAGAATGTGCATCAGTTAAATTATATTACTACTTTTCTAAAATTTTGCAGCTGATTATAAAAGAACAGAATAAGGAAAATAAATGGTCATATATAAAATATTGTAAAATCAAATTTGAATTACAAGTTTTCAAATTTATCTAAAAAAAAACATTGTTTACATATAAACAATAACTTTTAATGCTTTATAAGTACATTTTTAGTAAATTAACTCAACTTATTTTAAAATTTAATTATTACATATTACATCTAAGACAGATTTATTCTTTTATACTATATTATCATTTTCTTATTACAAATATTTTTATCACTTACTTTATTGTCAACAGCAGCCACATATATACCTTCAGAATCAATGTGTATGTTTTGTATGGATACATCTGTTTCTGTTGACTGTAAAAATTTTTTTTTGTAATTATAATATGTAGTAAACATTATAAAAGTGCATATTTTATATAATGAATAAACAGAACAATAATATTTACAAAAGAGAATTCTATAATAATAACAATAATCTCAATGACATATACTTTAACTTGTGATTATTTTGAATTTCTTAGATTTATATTATAACAAGTAGTTTCATTGATTTAATAATGTTTTAAAAATAACAAATAAATATTCATATATTTAAAAAAAATCAATAATTAATTTAATTAAATTTAATAATCAATATCATAACAGTACATAAAATACTATGAAAGAAATGTTTTACTATTTAGAGTTTAGTAGTTGTATATCAGAAATAAAGTAATACAGTCAACCCCCCATAACACCGTTGATAATTCCATTTTATATGAATTCTATGTTGTACGAGTCACTTAGATTTTACAAATACGTGAGCTGTTCACAGTCCGGCACACGTATTTGTAAAATCTAAGTGACTCGTACAACATGGAATTCATATAAAACGGAATTATCAACGGTGTTATAGGGGGGTTGACTGTACATTGCTTCCATTATCATCTTTGCTGTAAACAGGGATACTTTAATTTGAATCATCTATATATTTTGCTAGAGCTGTACTATATTTGTTTTTATTAATATAATATTGGTGTTCCCGGAGTCTTTGCAACAAGGATCTTTATGTCAGATTTCTATTGAATCTGATGTAATAAAGAGGTATGGAATACATTGCTACATTAGTGTTTACCATAGAAGAGGACCTTAAAAAGCTATATAGTTGACCATAGGAACACATCCACAAACAAAAACACAAAATCATAAATATATAGTAGTAAATTTCAACCCCAGACTGAGTACAACTTACAGTGTCATAGTCAAGCAATTAAACACAATCCAACTATATACAAACTATTCACCAATGATAAGGATAAGAGAGAAGACAGCAAATCCCTTGAAGTGTATTCTATACTGCATTATGCTCAACAAATAGATCCTTGAGCCTTTGGGTCAAGGAACACCATCAAGATATTAATAAAAACAGATATAGTACAGCTCTAGCAAAATATGCAAGTGAACAAGGGATGTCTCCATGAAGGGGAGAGGCAAAGTTGATATTTCATTGGAATTTTAATTAAAATAAGTGATAAGAAAAAGATTCTTTCTCACTAAAGCTTCAAAATATAATAATCCAGCAAATGCATATATTTCAAAAAACTAATTAGAAAATCTTCATTACTAATTTTAAATATGTGGAAGCTAAAACTTTATAATAGTTTCTTGAAATGATTTGAATTCATTAACAGTAATGAATGCAAATTATTGATGAAACTAGTGTATATGTTATTTTGTTTAAATATTAATTTTTATAATACAAATACAATAATATATAAAAATAAAAAAAAATACTTTATAAAATATTGATTTAGATTGCGGATCATTTTGTTGCATTCTCAAATCCCAAACATGAATTGTTCCACTTTGATCACCAATGTAAACTTCTATTTGGTTGGGATGAAGGTAAGCAGCATTGATGGGTTGATGAGTGTTGTACAGCTTTTGACACTGAAGATTTCTTGAACTAGAAATTTAAAGAATATATTAGGCTATAGAATAACTCCATACTGGCCCCGAAACAAAGAAATGAAAACAAGATACACAATGAAATCTATGTTACCGTAAATCCCATATTCTAGCCATGCAGTCTTCACCCCCAGTGTACATCCAACGTCCCTCTTCCTGAAATCCAACTGATGTCACATTTTTTGATACACCTTCGTAATTAACAACTGGATTTGGATTATTAGAATTAATATCATACATTCGAATGTGTTGGTAACCTGCGATATAATTGTATTATATTAAAAATATGTTTATAAAAATTTCAATTATAAATACAATGTACCAATATTAAAAAGAGATACATACTTGCAGCCGCTAATAGTTGTCTGTCAGGTGTAATTTCTAATGCATTAACTTGCTAAAATTAGTGAAGGAATATAAAAATAATAGATAATTCCCTGTTCTGTTCCAGGATGTCCATAGTAAGTTGATTTGATCATGAGTCAAACATAAAAAAATAATAGAGTTTCAAGAATTCTTATAAACCTATATAAATACAATATATGTATATATATTGTAAGCAGTTACTGTATTTAAGTATGTAATACAGTAGAAATCATGTTTAGGTATATCACAATGCTTCGTGTTAATGTACAGTACGTACATTTAACTTAAACTCCTTTTTAGCATTCAAAAGACATTATGATGCAGCATTAAAATGAATAGTAACTGTACATGTTTGTTGAAAATGGAACAGATAATGCTATTTTATGTTATTTGTATTGTTTTTATGACTCATTACTTAACAAAATTGATTATTTTAAAATTTTTTCCTCCATTAAAACAAACTTAAAAGTTGATTTCAAGCTGAAACAAATCTTACAATTAATGATATGTGGCGGCATTATCTTTACTAAGTAACACTAAGTAAGTAAGGATATCATCTGAGTAGTAGTTGAATACCTGGCATAAGTTCTTGAGAACAAGAATTTTTTGCAATCAAATGTTTTCGATTCTTGTATTCAAATACTTACATCTTTAATTGGAGTCCCTATGGATTAATTTAAACCCAGTAATGAAGTGTTTNAAAATACAGGATACGAAAGTCATTTTAATTATTAAAATGAAAATATAAGCTATTGATTATTTAAATATTGCAATAAATAAATTTGGCACATCGCAAATTACTTTAAAATATTACAAACAAGATTAATTTGATGGAGTAGATAACGTAAGAAACCGGTTTATTTACAATGATTTACTTTATGCATCTCATAGCGTAAACAATAAAAACGATTGTCCTAAATTTAAAAGCTTTCAAATAAATCTTGAAAGTAATATGGCCTTGATATAAAAAAAAACGGAATTTGTTCATACATCTGTACTTTTTTTTTGCAGAAATTAATCCAAATCTCACGCTTACGGAAGAAATTCGGGAGACAATTCACAAATTATATAATACTTTTTCTTTTACAGTTCTACGTTCCCCCTTTTACAAAATTATCACGAAACAATTAATTAGATAGAGAAATTTAATTTCCAAAATTAAGATTCTATACTTAATTATAAATATAGAGAAGGGGGGTTCAAAAGTAGGTATACAGTTGTGAATCTGAGAAATACAGATGTATCGTGCAGTTCATTATTATTTTGTATTCCTTATTGAGATTTACGCTTAAGAATTAATATTTTTTCTTCTGTTTTTCTATAATAAAAACTGTATGTACTGTACTTTTGAATAATCATACTTTTAGTAAAGTTATTTATCATACAGCTTCAATGAAAAATTGCTATATAGAATCTACATAGTTCAATCACAATGGCTCTCTAAAATGTACATTTAAATATCTTAATACTGTATTATCCAATATCTCAATATGCTATTATATAGTTAAAGATGCCATTTCCAGGAAAGTAATCTTAAGTTTATGGGAAGTAGGACGGCTCGCTATACGACAATGCTTCAACAACCAATTAGATCATAAAAATGGGACTTTACTTTGCCTAATAAAACCTGCCTAAAACGGACTCGCCATAAAACTAAAACAGGCGTAAACGGAAAATTCAACTCGGTGTTGTCGCCTTACGTTTTAGACAGGTTTTACTGTATAATAATTTCAGTTTTCTGCTATAATTTCCGCTTCTGACCTTCCATCGCTTCGAAAATGAATTTATTACGTCAGATTAAGCGCAATGAATTTTTATTACCGAAATCTTATTCGCTTGATAAACCATGTTTTTTAAATGGCGAATATTAAAATCTTATTCATAAACAGAAACAGCAAACAATTCTTTAAAAACTGTTGCGATTTGTGTCATTTTTCTTGCATGGATACATTCTTTTTGGGAAAAGAAATACCTTCCGAGGTGTACGGTTACTTCCTATTACAAAAAATGATGCTAATTTTTATGAACTTCCTATTTAATTATGACATTATTAAGAATAATGAATGACAATTTAAAAATAAGTACAAGTATATTTTTTAAATTCATAATATTTAAACTTTATCAAACTTATATCGTTTATAAACGATTTTCTAACCGACATTGTTTTGTGTTTGTTTGTACGAGACAACGCGACACGTGTCCCCTCCCCGGGAAGGATTTCTCTACGGTAAACTGGCCCCTATTCGGGTGTTACAGATGTGGAGAAAACCCAGAAAGCTCCACGTGGCCTGGTGAGGGGTGAACCCACGACCAAACTCCCAGTGTTCGGGGAACAGAGCCGCCTGGCCACCAGTGGGCCGGTCCTTTGAATTTTTGTTCCTATGGGCATGCTCTACAGCTGTGTTAAAGCCTCATTCACGGCTACAATTGTACCTACATTTTTAAAAAGGATACAGAATCAGAATGCTGTACACTTCCCTGACATTGTCCACTATGAGCTTGCCAAAATCGAATAGTGTGATCATAACCACCAGTGGCCAGGATCACCTGTTCCGTATCTGGATCGTCCGAACCCATTATAATAAGTGTTAAGTTACTTTATAAGTCTTAAACATTAACAATATTAAGCAGGTTATTATTAGATTTTTGCTGTTTTTCTTCCGCTACGAAACTTAGTAAAAATTCGACCAACTCCTCACTAACTCATCCCAGCTGGAATGTTTACATTTTCATGCGACGTTACGCCATCTGTCGACTCTTGTAAAATAAATACAATATTTGAGAATAAAAATTTAAATTTTAAAACCGAAAAGTTATTACAAATAGAACTAGAATTTTTTGCAATCAAATGTTTTCGATTCTTGTATTCAAATACTTACATCTTTAATTGGAGTCCCTATGGATTAATTTAAACCCAGTAATGAAGTGTTTCTTATGTATGTAAATGTGGTTTTACTGTAAAAAAATGAACGTAACTGTATACAATAAAGGTCAATTTGAAAGAGAAAATTCATTTTACAATAGTTGAAGATTTACCTAAAAGCAAGTGTCGAGGACTGCTTTAATGATTTCTATAAATGAGGAAGAATTCTAGAAAAATATGGCGCGAAATTAAAATTTGTGAGGGAATTGGAGAGAAACTTTACAGTTAGTCTGATCAGCATGCATATAGTTTATGATCACTTTGCAGGATAACAGGAAATCCTTGTTAATTCAAACTCAGATAGTTCGAAATCCCATTAGTTCATAACTGTACTTTTGTCCTGACTGGGGATAGAGATTTAAACATTAAAAAATTTGGTTAGTTCAAAATATGGCTAATTCTTTTTACCTCTTTGTCCTTACTTTTACATTTCTATGAGTGTATATTGTCTACTTGGACTTTGGTTTATTAATAAGACTTATTATACTGGTGAAATTTCTGATTAGCAAAGAGGCGATATCTTAGTCAAAAGTCCTTCAGTTCCAAAACACACAAAAAGAGTGTATGGGTAAAAATAAAAATATTTTGTTTTGACTTTTGACTAGATATCCTCTCTGCTAATCAGAATATTCACCAACATAAGTCCTATTAATAAACAAAGTCCAAGTAGACAATATATACACAGAAATGCAAAATAGGGCTACTTTGCAATTTGAAGTGAAAATTCTGTCCGAACTGTGACACGTGTACATTAGCTCGTTTGTTTAGATTGAAATGCCTTCGTGCTATAAGAGAACAATAGACCAAGAACAACTCTAATCTGGTCAATATGACATTGCTTTTACAGTAATACCTTACATATGGATTACCCCTTTTTTCTCTTATTTTATAAAATATGGCTGGGTTTCAGGATTGCAAGACTGGGTTACGAGTAGAAGATTGAGCACTACTTTTTGGGCCACTTTAAAAATAATTTGGGCTAAATTTTGGGTTTTATAAGAAGCTTTACTTCNGTTTTGTGTCTCAGTAACAATTGATACTACAAATTTTATATGTAAGCTATGTTTGTAAGGATTGTAACACACATTAAAACCTTTCAAATTCATGAAATCATCAAAAATCATTATTTTTCCTATTAAATACACATTAAGCACATTAGAAACTTTCTTAAAAATATAAAATCATGATTTTTCTATAATAATTTTTTATAACATCACATTTTTTATTTATATAATTTTTTTCATTTTCATATTTATAAATATTAATTTTATAATTTTTAAAACATGAAAAAATAAATATGAATGTGAAACTTATAAATACAGTATGAAACTACTATTAAACACATGCGTGTCTGCATAATGAATGTGACCAATAGGAGTGCGACAGGATCTCAGGCTCTAGTCGCTTGTGTTCTTATTCCTTCTCAGTTCACTTTGATTGAAATCTTGGGAGATCAATAATCTTTCTTGATAATCTTTCTTTGACTTCTTTTTCTCTATTCACTGCTGAAACGCACTAGAGAATCCAATCTTTCCAACCTACCTCGTCAGAGTTCCAGCCAAGAATGACCATCGTTCATACACATTGCCCTCAGGGCCACATTCCTCTCTTTTGTTCCAAGGGATTAGTCACCACCACCCAAGAAAAAAAAAGGTTGAGAAGAAAATTTCTAGAAGGCGCAAACAATAGACAAAGGAAAGAAAGGAAAGTATATAGAAATTAAAATAAAATATTTATTTACTATGACGTACAGCCACACTTTTATATGACAAGCTTATTATGGCACTGACCATATACATCATTAATTTTTTTAAACTCAATTACATATTATAGTTAATTTTTAATAGTGCAAACATCTTAAACTTTTTAGTTATATATTAAAGCCAAATGCTTGCTGGATTATGTTAGTCTATATTACTACTACTAACTTATTATTAAATGCTAAATAATTTGGCAGATGTTAGATGCCATCTCTTGCTAAACTATAATGACTATAATTAAATTAATATTTTAATAATTAATTTAGAAGGTTTTGAAAGAAAAGAATTGGCTCAAAGTGAGACTTGAACTTGCAACTTCTGCTTACCGTATGGTCGCGTTGTCGGTTATGCTTCCCAGACCTTCGTCCTATCCTCACTTCCAGAACTTATTAATTCAATAGGTGCTGTAAGCAACTGAGTATGGTTATATCCAAATTTAATTGACTCATTCCTAACTTATGCATAAATCTTCCAAGTCTTTTCCATTTCCAACATTAATAAAATAATATTTAAAGGATTAGAAACATTAATTAATTATTATATTCATTTCTTCAAAGAATACATACATATCTTGGCTTAATATATAATACATAATGTTCAATATAGTAAATTATATATTACAGAATTATTTCAAACAAATTAAGGCATCTTTGATTAAAAAGAATTTTTAACAAAAAGTTACAGAAAATATTAAAATTGTAATATTTTGATTGTAAAATAAAATTGTAATGATTTCTCGTATAATAAGTTTAACTTTACTCAGAAATATTGTTTCTAAATCATCATCATTTCTAGATTATTTCTAGCATCTGTTTGATTATAAATTATTGTAGGTAAAAACTGATTTATTAAGATTTAAGTCTTTCAAGCAAGCTATCAGTTGTTTGCTTGAAAGACTGAATGAATGCTGCTTTCAAGTTGCTGTTATTTGCGCAGACGATCTCAATACACTGCAGATTTTGCTTCTCCCCATAGATAGAAGTCTGGTGGATTTAGATCTAATGACTGTGGTGCTACACGTTTTTTGAAACAATGCAAAAATATTATTAGAAATATGCATAGTATATGTTTTTTTTTTTTTTTTTAAACTATCGTATTTTAATATTACAGCATTTAAATATTATGTCAAAATACTTTATTATATATTAAAAATTAAAATACGGCTAAATTTTTATCTGGCAACGTTGAAAAAAATCATATGATTTTTGTCAAAGATGGCGGCCATCAGTAGATCTTTCACGATGGAAGAATCGAAAACGTTTAGAGATGTTTTAGATAATGCTCCTAAAGAATTAAATAGAGATTATCTTAAACGAATATACTTGGCTTTGCGCACTTCTAAACACGAAGAGTAAGTTTTGGCTGATAAAAAAAAATATATATATATATTAAAAATTTAAAATGAAATTAATTTAATATATTTTCAGGATTGTAGATAACGAAGCAATTGTCAGTTCACTTATAATTATGATACTCAACGATTCTACCAATTATCTCGATCGATATTTAGCTATATCTATTCTACAAATTCTGTCTCCTCAACCGGATTTTTTGCAAATTATGCAGACTGGTAAATTATCTCAGTTATTGCACTGCTTACCATTAATGATGGTTCAGGTAAGAATAACGAATATTCTATATTATGATTTTTGGTAGAAGTGCATCTAGGTAGCCCCAGTGGTGGTACTTCTAAGACTGTGGTGTTTAATTATTTAGCCCACGTGACTATGTCGGCTTTGAGTAAGCCCACTTGATTGTTCCTGGAGTACTTGATGTTATATAGTTTTAGGGGTGTGTGGGAGCTCACCCCCAGTCGGGTGCTGAGATGCGAGTGATAGCCAGCACCGAGGCACACGTCTGCATGCAAAGCATGTAAAATAGGCGGTAGACTGATACGAAATAAAGATTTTTTTTTAAAACTTCGTTATCTTTGTGAATCAAACAAATATATATTAACAATTTCTACTGTAAATTGAATTATTAATCACCCTGTAAAGTTTTATCTACCACTTTTGAATCACGCTCTGTACAGGGGTGATGGAAAAAATTAAATTAAAAATTACATTTACATTAATAGATTTTCTTGTAACAAATGTAAACAAATCTTTGGCTTTTGAATCAATATCTTTGGTGTAAGCTTGAAACTGTCCCTTCAATGATGCTGAAAACATTTGCATTTCAAAAGTTTTACTGCTGAAAAAGTATGGAAGCTTGGCATTAATTCACATAATTGAAGTAATATTTCCAGCTTTTGTGATAATTTAATTTGAGTAACAAATACAGGGTGGGAAAGAAAGTCACTTTAACACCCCTGTTATTGAATATATTAATAGAATGTACCCAAATTTAATTCACTCATGTCAGGAATACATTAGACTAAGGAAGAAACTGGTGTGTGTTACATGCATGGCTGCCATCTTGAATGCAACTTTGAAACTGTAAATGGGAAGAGTATCAAACATCACATCATTTAGGCTCAGAATTTCACAAGGAATTGATTGCTGGAAGATTTTATTGAACTACCTTGGATGGTTATGGAGTTATGCACATGATGTGCTCATACATTCTATATTCTGTAGCAGAGGTGTTAAGTAACTTTCTTTCCTACCCTGTATAATTACAATATTCTAATTTTAATTCTCAATAATGTATATGCTACTGTGAATGACTGATATCTGGCGAATGTCAACATTCTCCGGTGAATGTCAGCATTCACACAGTCGTTTTGTGTATGTACGAAATATTTGCTAAATATCATCATTTCTCACTTACATCAGCAAATGTCGACATTCAACATGCACTGATGGTGAATGTTGAATAAAAATATTTTTATTACGTTAAGACAAAAATGCAACTTTTTAATATGTCAGAATAGGAGAAAGCTTAAGTAACAGCACATGTAAATAAACTGTTGAACCTAAAACGAACAGTACATTCTAAATCATTAAAGAAAATAATACAATAATAAACTTACACATAAATTATGTGATTAACATTATACAATCTTATTTATTGCAACAACTTAAACTGTTATGGCACTTTGAGTTGCACAAGAGTCCCTTGCTTTTACAACTGCATTTATTCGTGGAACACTTCTCTTTGCAATGGTTAAAAGCAAGGGACTCTTGTCCCTTGCTTTTACAACTGCATTTATTCGTGGAACACTTCTCTTTGCAATGACAATGTGTATAGCCTTGCCCTCCACTTTTCGAATTAGCTGCAGCTGCTTCTCTCAGCGATATTTCTTGAGAAGAAATCTCATCTATGGAAAGTAACTTTTCTTTACAAATTATGAAGTGATTACGGGTATAAAGCTGCTTGAGGGTACTATTTTTGTTTGCTAATTTATGAAAGTCTGAGTCTTCTATTCCAACAACAACCGCCAACACATTTCGGGTATCTGTATGGCCACGATTGACATCAGGAACTTGTATTCATACGGTATCACTAATTTGAGCAGAAGAAAATGGCGAAGAATTTTGCAACAGACTGTCACCTCTCTGTCAACAACAGCTTCCCGGGTGTTGTTTCAACCCCCACCAAAGCTTATCTGTGATTGTCGACATACACCGGCGATTGTTCGAATGTGTAATAATATAACCAAATATTCGGTCTTTCACCGACATATTTTGTATGTGTCGACATTCATTGGAGAATATTGACATTCTCTAATTTCAGTCTTTCACAGTAACATATATTTTTTTATTCATGAAAGATGATAAAACAAGTTCTTGATGTAAATATGGAATGGATTTTAATTAGTAGATTCTTTTCTTTTAAACTAATCCTAAAATATAATATTTGATTATCTACATAATATATTCCAATTAATGTTTTCCTTCATTTACTCTATATTTTTAATTTTTTATGAATTTTTTCATGAAAATGTATTCATAAATTTTACTGTAATATTTTATAAGTTTATTAAAAAATTTACCTTAATACAAAATGAATACTGATGCTCATTACAGTAATTAATGTCATAAATTTAAAGATGACTTTTAAAAAATTAATATTTAATGTATCATTTTTATTACAAATTTAAATACCTTATGTATCTAATTTGTTATAATATGAAACTATATTTTCAGACCAACAATGACCCTATAGTAAAAGAAATTTTGAAAAAATTGATAAAGTAAGTGATGTATTTTTGATAGAAACTGGAAAAATATTATGTAATTTACAATATGTAATTTTTTAAATATATTTAATGAATAATGTATTTATTTAAATATTTAATTATAATTAAAATGGGAGTTTTTATGTACTTTTCAAATGTATATTGTTGGTGTTAATTTACTATGTGAGAAATACTGTATTAGTATTATATACATAGCATTCCGAGACAAAACATTAGGTATTTCAATAGATGTACCATCATAGAAAAATAATGCTAAGGAAAATAGCAATTAACAGATTATCTAAAATCATAAAGGATGAATACATTACAAGAAAAATAAAATTACCAGTAGTATACGCAGTAGTTTTTTCTGTGATATATGGCTGTGAACATGTACTCTAAGAAAGAATGAAAGGAAAAAGATTGATTCCTTTGAACTATGGTGTTGGAGAGGATTATTGAGACTTGGACAAAACACCAATCATTCAGTAGTTGAAAAATTAAGTCAGAACTTTCTCTACAAGCCAAAATAATAAAACAAAAACTTTTTTACTTTGAACATATTTTGCAGGTGAATGACTCAATGAAAAAGATGATAATGCTTGGCAAGTTATGAGGTGGAAGAAGGGATAGATTTTACACAATATGGATTGAGGCATGTATGAATCTATATCAAAAATCTTCAAGATTTTAGAAGGTAACTGTAGATAAGCCTTTTCGGAGAATGTTCATCCAAAGAGTCATCAGGATTGTGTGTGATTTGATGGGTACTTAACAACAACAACCATATGCAGTGTTGTAGCTGGACAGGTTCAATGGGGGCACAGGCACAGGACCCAAGACAATAGGGGACCCGGAAATGGGATATCAAAAAATGATCAGTATTATATTTTTATTTTCAAGTTTTAAATTTTGTTGTCATGGAGACCAATTCCATAATGCTTTTGGTTAAATTTCTGCCATATTTCATTTTTACTTTTGTGATAATAGGTGCGAATTGAGATACCAGATATGATTTTAAATAATAAATATCTTTATTTCGTCTGAAGTAGATAGGTTTTCTTTAGTATGCCAGCTCTCTGTCCCAGTACAAACATATAATACGAGCCGTACTACAATTTTTATCAGTTCTACACTCGTGACACAATTGGCAAGTGCCAAATCCAACAGAAGGTGCTGTTTTTGAGCCAAGATGGCTGCCGAAACAAGTAAGGAACCAATCGTGTTTGTTCAGTGCCTGAGCCGATTCAGTTTCTGTCGGTGATGACTACTGCGAGGACCAAATGGAGAACAAATCATTGAATTTATGTCAAATTCTAGACTATATCGGCAACAGGAAATGTTGTCTTTTAGAAGGTGAAGCTGTTTTGGATGCTGGACACATCGTGAACTTCACTGTTGTTGTTAGAGTTTAATCCACAAAATACGATGTGTCAGATTTGGTGCTCACCAATTAATTTTCATTTGCAATATATTTGCAGCACATCTAATATAAACTATAACTATGCACTTACAACTAACTATGACTAATTATAACTAACTGAGGAAGAATTTAAGAATCAGAAACCAATGATAGAATAGGGATAGAGGAAAGTGGGTACCCAAATACTGGTGATGATCTTGGGTGGTGGATTTCCAGAATGCATCATCATTCAGCTCCAATCTCTCACTTATTGTTCACTCACTGATGTTACAACAACAGTGTTGTTGTAACATCCTTTGTATAAGAACTATCAAATAACTCTCTTGGAGTTATTTGATAGTTCTTATACAAGTGACTAGAGCCTGAGATCCTGTCGCGCTCCTATTGGTCACATTTATTATGCAGACACGCATGTGTTTAATAGTAGTTTCATACTGTATTTATAAGTTTCACATTCATATTTATTTTTTCATGTTTTAAAAATTATAAAATTAATATTTATAAATATGAAAATGAAAAAAATTATATAAATAAAAAAGTGATGTTATAAAAAATTATTATAAAAAAATCATGATTTTATATTTTTAAGAAAGTTTCTAATGTGCTTAATGTGAATTTAATAGGAAAAATAATGATTTTTGATGATTTCATGAATTTGAAAGGTTTTAATGTGTGTTACAATCCTTACAAACATAGCTTACATATAAAATTTGTAGTATCAATTGTTACTGAGACACAAAACATATGATGCCAAGAATCACACTGCACGCATTGTATCCACGAGACTGCGTCTGTTTCTTGTTGGTCATCAGATTTGTTACACGTACTACAGTGTTGTTGTAACATCCTTTGTCAATGAAAATGAATGTTGGAAGTTTACTAAAAAGAATTACGTAATTGTTAGAAAGACCTGTCCAAGATTAGACTGTCAACTAAGATGTGGTTTATGTAAAATTTGTATATATGATTTTAGCTGGTCTTGTAGTGATTCGTTGTATGTAAAAACAATTTGTAAATATATACATTACTTGAAAATTGAATACAATGGAAATAAGTACTGGAGAAAATAGTGGTGACTATAACTTGGAAGGCAGTAATGACAAAGTAATAGTATCACTTGAATGCGGACAGTCAACAACTGAAATTGGAAGTGAGAGATTGGAGCTGAATGATGATGCAATGCAAACTTCATGTACTGAAACAGAAATGCAAAAAGAAATTTTCAAACAAGTTCTGGAAGCCAAATCAGTTCATGAAACAGACATTAAATGAAAGGTTTTTGCTACAACACAAAATTTACTTAAAGAAATTCAAAACTGCAATGAGAGCATAATTTTGGAATAAGTTAACAGACAAATTATCTCAGATTCTGCCAGTGTTTCAAGAAGCCCAATTAGAAAAAAATGACGGAAATACATTAAAAATAAGAAAAGTAACCTCTAATGAAAAATTTCAGCATCAAATACGATTGGACCGTAAAACCAGGCAAAAACAAAGACGTTTACACATTTCTCCCAACTGAAATAAAAAGAATTCGAAGGTAACTAAGAGAATTACAACAACACTGTAGTACATGTAACAAATCTGATGACCAACAAGAAACAGACATAGTCTCGTGGATACAATGCGTGCAGTGTGTTTCTTGGCATCATATGTTTTGTGTCTCAGTAACAATTGATACTACAAATTTTACATGTAAGCTATGTTTGTAAGGATTGTAACACACATTAAAACCTTTCAAATTCATGAAATCATCAAAAATCATTATTTTTCCTATTAAATTCACATTAAGCACATTAGAAACTTTCTTAAAAATATAAAATCATGATTTTTTNTAGGAGTTTGTGGATTTTCTACACAACAAATATTCTAAAAGGACTTATTTTGAGGGATCGATAGATTTTTTTTTCGACCCGAGGACGGATAAAAATGACCGGCCGGCTTATGGATTCCAAAGAGAAACGGCGGAGATCGGTATATATTAATTTTATAATTTTTAAAACATGAAAAAATAAATATGAATGTGAAACTTATAAATACAGTATGAAACTACTATTAAACACATGCGTGTCTGCATAATGAATGTGACCAATAGGAGTGCGACAGGATCTCAGGCTCTAGTCGCTTGTGTTCTTATTCCTTCTCGGTTCACTTTGATTGAAATCTTGGGAGATCAATAATCTTTCTTGATAATCTTTCTTTGACTTCTTTTTCTCTATTCGCTGCTGAAACGCACTAGAGAATCCAATCTTTCCAACCTACCTCGTCAGAGTTCCAGCCAAGAATGACCATCGTTCATACACATTGCCCTCAGGGCCACATTCCTCTCTTTTGTTCCAAGGGATTAGTCACCACCACCCAAGAAAAAAAAAGGTTGAGAAGAAAATTTCTAGAAGGCGCAAACAATAGACAAAGGAAAGAAAGGAAAGTATATAGAAATTAAAATAAAATATTTATTTACTATGACGTACAGCCACACTTTTATATGACAAGCTTATTATGGCACTGACCATATACATCATTAATTTTTTTAAACTCAATTACATATTATAGTTAATTTTTAATAGTGCAAACATCTTAAACTTTTTAGTTATATATTAAAGCCAAATGCTTGCTGGATTATGTTAGTCTATATTACTACTACTAACTTATTATTAAATGCTAAATAATTTGGCAGATGTTAGATGCCATCTCTTGCTAAACTATAATGACTATAATTAAATTAATATTTTAATAATTAATTTAGAAGGTTTTGAAAGAAAAGAATTGGCTCAAAGTGAGACTTGAACTTGCAACTTCTGCTTACCGTATGGTCGCGTTGTCGGTTATGCTTCCCAGACCTTCGTCCTATCCTCACTTCCAGAACTTATTAATTCAATAGGTGCTGTAAGCAACTGAGTATGGTTATATCCAAATTTAGTTGACTCATTCCTAACTTATGCATAAATCTTCCAAGTCTTTTCCATTTCCAACATTAATAAAATAATATTTAAAGGATTAGAAACATTAATTAATTATTATATTCATTTCTTCAAAGAATACATACATATCTTGGCTTAATATATAATACATAATGTTCAATATAGTAAATTATATATTACAGAATTATTTCAAACAAATTAAGGCATCTTTGATTAAAAAGAATTTTTAACAAAAAGTTACAGAAAATATTAAAATTGTAATATTTTGATTGTAAAATAAAATTGTAATGATTTCTCGTATAATAAGTTTAACTTTACTCAGAAATATTGTTTCTAAATCATCATCATTTCTAGATTATTTCTAGCATCTGTTTGATTATAAATTATTGTAGGTAAAAACTGATTTATTAAGATTTAAGTCTTTCAAGCAAGCTATCAGTTGTTTGCTTGAAAGACTGAATGAATGCTGCTTTCAAGTTGCTGTTATTTGCGCAGACGATCTCAATACACTGCAGATTTTGCTTCTCCCCATAGATAGAAGTCTGGTGGATTTAGATCTAATGACTGTGGTGCTACACGTTTTTTGAAACAATGCAAAAATATTATTAGAAATATGCATAGTGACTCTTCGTACACCCTGTATTTCATTATGAAATCTCTTTCTTTTTAACTATCTTTTAATATTAATAGGATTTATTAAATTCTATTAATATTAAGAATTTATTTATTACTTGTTTACCCACCAGTGGCTTTGTGGATAAAACCATTGAACACTAATACAGTAGAGCATCGATTATCCAAAGCAGTTCGGTACTAGGGTTGTTCAGATAACTGATCATTTACGAAAAAAACATATTAAACACAAAACGTACTGTATACATTTTGAATCACATGTTTTATAAATTCATATCTAATATAAAATAGAACATTAAAGTAGGCCTACAGTTTAGATTGTCAGGGAGTGAGAGTGCGCTACAACGCCACAGCACTAGCAGAAATTTGAATTTGCCGATTGGAACGCTTTCGGTTAACCGATGTTTCTGTTGAACGGTATTCAGATAATCAATGCTCTACTGTAGTTGGTTGTGGGTTTGCACCTGACCAAAGAGCTGGCCATGTGCAGTTTCCAGGTTTTTTTCATGTTTGTAATACCTAAGGAGGAGCCAGTTTTCCACAGAAAATATTACTGTATCGTAAATAGTTATTTTATAATATGACTAACATGAAATAGAAATACTGATTATAAAATATTTACATTTTGTTTTTAGGGGAATTGAAGATAATAAAATTAGCAAGCAGAATCACTGGTGCATTCTAACAGTACTTTCACAATTGCTTAATTCTGAAAACATGACATCAGGTATATTTAGCAGCTATAATTTTCAGTAAAGATAGAATTAAAATAATGAATTAAAAAATTAATTTATTAAATATAGAAACAAAATATTATTTAAAGGATTATGGTACAATATACAGGGTGCTCTTAATTAAAGTATAAGTGTTCAGTATCTTCTGTAGAAAGAATTATAGACAAATCTTGACTAAATTTGGTATACATACTGTCTTGATTATACCATTTCAGTTTTACAGGAAAAATTTTACTTTAAAATTCAGCTGTTATGGCAAAATTTGGCACTGTTATCTCTTTAATATACATAAGTATGGCTATGGCAAATTTCGTAAAGCAATGTGGTTCATTTTCGTTTTCGTGGTGATGTGAACACTCAGAAATGCTGTATTTGGTCTGATAAAAATCTACATGTTCTCCAAGAAATTCCATTACACTCAAATCATTGGTTCAAATTATCAATCATTTATCATTGCTTCATAGTTTTTTTTTTTTTTTTTTTGAAGAAAACTGCAGCTGGACATGTTCTGTTAATGCTGTAAGATACAGTGATATGATCCAAAACTTTATAAAAATATTTCACAGTATTTCTTAACTTCCAAAATTTGTTAGAAAATGTGCATAATATGAACATTAAGGGTCAGCAGAACCAAATTTTGCTCTAGTGGTTGAATTTTAAAGTAAAATTTTTTTACAAAATTCAAACCTCATACTTGGGACAGTATGTGTATCAAATTTGGTTGAGATTTGTCCCATAGATTTTTTCTACAGAGACATTTAAACATCTACTTTTTAACTATTACCTTATACTTATCAAGATATCTATTAAACCTTATAATAAAGTAATATTGTTTGAATCAAATAAATCAAAAATGGTTCCTGTTTCAGATAATAAAACAAAATAAAAACTGTTTTAATGGAGTACAGCTGAGGATTGAAATTTTAGCTGTACTCCAATAAAAAAAATCATTAGAATTTCCCAAATACTAAATATTATAATAAAAATAGGTTAGTATATATAAAATTTATATTCGTTTTAAATGTTGCATATATAATATTTAACACTCAATTCAAAGTATTGCACTTTATAGTCACGTATTTTCTTGGTTTATATCTTGTTTAACTCTATGAAAAAGAAAGTTCACTACTTGTTAAACAATATTAAACCATTGCTTATTTAAGAATATACTTTGTTTATTCGATAACTAAACATTATAATTTTTTATCAAAAGTTTGGTAACATCCGTGCTATATAAAACCATGTCTAATTCTTTGACTTCAACCTAAATAAATATGAAATAAACTTTTGTATTAAAAGATTTCTGTTTCAGATTTGTACAAATAAGAATTACATAATTATCGATAATAATCTCATATATAATCTCGAGAGGGGTCGGATTTAACGAATATTTTACTTGTTATTAACATTTACATTTTTCTTTATTTATAAAACTCATCTCTGTTCTTAAAATTAAAGCCTTTTGCCATTTTATAATGTAAGATTTTTTTATAATAAAATCTCATAACAGATGGTGGAAAATGCAATTTTAGTTTTTAATAATATGGTAAATAATAATTTATTTTTAAAATGAAATCATAACAATTGGAAACACACTGGATTTTTTTGGTGTTTCAGTGTTATTTTCAGAAAAATTGTTGGTTGTTTACTTTTTATTTAAATGTCGAAATATTCATCCTAAATACTAAAAATACTAATTTTTCAATTGTTTTGAATGTAGATGATATTAAATCATTAACAGCTAATCTTCCAAAATGGTTACACGAAAGCTTTTCTTATGGAAGTTCAAAGTTTAGTTCACATTCTAAAAAGTCTGATATAATAATAACAGAGTTGGATGGTTCTCATTGTCAAGAATTCTTTACAGTTTTAAACTGTGGTAAGTATTTCATTAATGAATTTTTGTATAATTTTAGAAAATTCTTTGATATTTTCAATGTAATTTATAAAATTATGACAATTTAACTTTTACTGAATAATAATCTTATTATATGGAACAGAAATGGAATTAAAATTTATTTTGTAGACTTTATGAAAAGATTATTTATTTATTTATTTATTATTATTTTTCTCTAAGATGTTTCAATTTCTATTGATTTTTATTGTAGCGCAACATTATATGCCCGAACATTTTCTTAATATTCAAGTATTTTCTATGCTACAACATTGGTTATTAGCAATTTGTGATGGTACTTCTGAAAATAAATATATAGCATCATCTCTTAGTAATTTTTCTACAGAAATCACAGCATGTGTAAGAGAATATTGTTTGAGGATTGTAGAACAATGGCAACAAAGTGAGTAAAATGTCAATGCTTTTTATCAATCTGTGAACATATTTCTTTATAATATAACATACCTAATTGACAATTATTTTTCATTTTAGAACATACAAATTCTGATATTATGAGCTTTCAGGCAGCAGTAAGTTATAGATTTATTAATTATACTATTGCTTTATTATTTTACTAATTTTTAACCTATATAGTATTTATGCAGATTTTTATTACATTTACAAACTTATCCAAGAGCTTTACATAAATATTATTTTAATTTTTAAATGCTTGATTTTAAGTATTAAAAATAATAACAATATATAAATGGATTCTTTAGGTAGGTTTAGTCAAATAATAACACAGCTAATGATAAATAAAATAAGACATGATACTATTTCTATTATTAATAAATATATTTCTCATATTGCGTTAAAATTACAAATCAGTTTAAATTGCACATTTAAGAAATTATAACTATGTTAATTTAAAACAATATATTAAAAATTTATAAAGCTAATACTGCATTAGATTAATGTGTTCTTAAATCTGTCTGAGTTTTGAGGCATTAAAGATACTCTTATTTAATTGCTATGATCCCATTTCATAAGTTATGCAAGAATACAGTAGCATAGAAGGAGACCTAAATTAGAATGTGCAAACTAACTTTCACCCCTGTATTGCTATGAATATAGCCATCTAGCACTGTGGATAAAGAGTAAAATTTTTAGATATTGTATATATATGTGTGTGTATTAGTGCATTTGTCACATTTAAATCATTCTCCTGTACTTAATTGATTTTTTTCCATTTATTTTTGAGGTATTTATGAAAGTAGGGTGCCTAGGCCTCTTCCTGGTTATGCTATGGCAGAAGTATACACTCATAAATAAAAATCAACACCTTTTAACTCCAATAATAAGTTTAATATTGCAAAAATGCTTTTGACCAATTAATAGATCTTCGGTTACTGAAATATTGAATACAAAGTTTGAACGAAAACAATACAAGATAAAAAATTTAAACTTAATGGCAGATGATACAAAATTTGTGCATTGTATACACTGTAATTTGCACAAGATCTAAATAAATGTGTTTTCTTTATGAGTTCAGAATCTTTTGTATATATATTCTGGCAGTGAATCATTTCTCTCAGTACAATGGCATTTGCTACACTGATAAAGTTTGTTTTAGATCATAGCAACTAAGTGCATAAATTATTCGTGACTATCAAGATTACAAATAATTTTTATAAACAGTGATAAGAAAGTTTGTATGTATTTTTTAATGAAAAATTTTAAATAATTGTTAAAATTAAATTAATTTTCATATAAATATAATACAAATCATATAAGTATAGATAAGCCCAAATACCAGATTAATTAGCCAAAAATAACCTGATGATTATTGAAATTGATCTTTCTTATTCTTAATGCTAAACAGAGCAATTAAAACCTTTTCTGTTGAAATAACAAATAAAAATTTAGAAGCTTTATTAAATTTTAATAATTTTATTTAGTCAAATGTATTACTATGGTTATATTTTTCTTATTTATTTAAAATAATGTTGCGAATAATTTAAATTTTTTGGAAGAATGAAAAATAAAAAGCTTTTCAGATGTTTATTTATTAACAATTCCGTTTTAAAGTTATATAAATTTCCTAATTGTGAATACTTTTTTCTTTATTGCAGTGTTTAACTGAAGCAATCAATATATTAGATATTCTATGTTTTATTAATCCAGATCTTGTGCATTTGGTGTTGCCTACATTTAGACAGTCTTACAATCGACTCTGTGGACAGATTGTTAGTAAAGCCCATTCTCACGATATAGCTGCAATCACTGCAGCAGTGCAATTTTTCATTAATCATAGTATGTTAAGCACATAAATTAACCTTATGCAAAAATTATATAACACAACTTTTATTTAAGTTTTTATGTTTTTAAGGTTCAGCAGTGATGCAGAAACCAGATGATATTTATCCTTTTCTATTTTGTGAAATATTGGGAAAATGTTATCAAGATAATTTGTCTGCTTTTGAAATCGTTAATCTAATAAAAAGGAATCTACCACATCTCTGCTATCGTACTAGTGTTTTGGAGAAATATTTTCCAACCATATTTAAAGTAAGTACTAGATTTTATAATTTTAGACTATGCAGTTAGTAATTAGAAAGACTTTTTTTGTTTGAATTTTACATTTCATATTAATTTCATTACATTAATTCATCATAATTGGAAAAGTTACTTTCTGGTTATATGTAATACAGTTCATTTATAGACAGCTCTTTAATAATTAAGCAGATTTCTAACTGAATAATGAAGCTATACATTTCTGCCAGCATTCATACATTTGTCAAAGGAGTACTGAAAGTAATGTTTTTTTCTATGACATTAAAAAAGCTTTTTTATTGTAGCGTACACCTCTGCCGCTTTTTAAAGAATAGATAAAATATCTGTGGGTGCAAGATCAATGGAATAAGAAAAGTGGGAAGCACTATTTATGTCAATTTTAGTCATATATTAATATTTATAGAAATGATCGATGCACAAAGGTAATTTTGTGGTAAAAGACTTAGTTCTGTTACTGATATTCTTATTCTGTGAAAGAAACTGTTTAGAAAAATGTTCATTGCAAATAAATCTTCAGGCTCCTAGAGATGTTAGTGTTTAGTTGGAATTATTAAGATTTTTTATGATTAATTACATATAGACTTCTATCTTATTTCAGTTAACATTTGTTAAGATTACTATACAATGGAATTTTGTGATTGTTTTGTATTTTACACCTCTATGTTCATGTCTTCCTAGCTTTATAATTAGTTAATAAATGTAATAAAAAGTAATTCTATTTTAATTTTTTTGTTTATTCTCAATTACAGGGATGTAAGTTAATGGGTTATGGTTATTTTAGATCATCTATAATGCATTACAATTGTACTAAAATCATACATAATATTTTGTGGATAATAAAAAGGAACCATAAAGTAAAGATGTAGTATTTCAATGTTTGTTAAATTTTCATATACAGAATATGAAACTTCTTAAAGCTATCAAAGAATTCATTTTATGTATGAAAAGGTTTTACAATAAATGAACAAACTGAAGTATTAAAAATAATCATTTTCTCTGAGAGCAATAAAATTATTACCAGGAATGATCTTGTCCAATAACTGTATTATCTAATCAATTTAAATGTATAACTTCTAGTATATTCATTTATATGTAATTTGTTTATAGATTTTCCTTTAAGCAAATTATTTCTTATTTAATTCAAGTTTATTACCATTTAGAGAAGATACAACAAAAATTATTTTAAAGGAGACAATGTAATAATAATGAGTATTACAGTATAGTCTGCACTATAATAAATAAATTATTTATTATTTATCTAATAGAAAAAGATAATAACTTTCTGTAATTTATTACTGTATTCATTCTATATTAATTTATATATTTATTAATATTAATATTTTATTGATTAGCTGTCACATATGTTTATTATGATTTCATATAACTTAGATATTAATGATTATAAATTCATTGTACTGTAATAATCAGCATATCAAATTCTTCTTCATTTGAATAACTCATTTTCATGGAAATAGAGGAAACAAGTAAATGCACAAAATTGAAAAAGATAACTCCAAAAATAGCACTCCTTTATGCCTTTGAAAAAGTAACAATTCAGTTTATTCAAAGGCTTCTTGTTCAACTGTTGATATGATAAGATAGAGAATGAAAACTTACTTCCCGGCATAGAAACTTTCAGAAAAAAGAGAATCAGATTTATAGCAGAAACTGGCCAATATCTTTTAAACCATTAGGTTTAAGAAAGTGCCACCTATTACAATAGGTATTTATTTTGTCATATACAATCCATATAATGTCTCAAAGGCATCCCTTGTAATTTAAAAAAAAAAAAAAACCTTACTTTGTTGTGTTTATCTATCTCAAAAACTGCTGATATTCAAGATCATCTAAGGTCACTAAAATCACCATCAGCTCTATAAACTTGGTAATTAATCCCATCTTATATCCAATGGTTTTCAAGAGTTACTAATGAATTGTCATTGTCAAGATTCAGTAAACAGGCAATTGGGCTTTTATTATGTAAGATGTTAAAATAATTTTTGAATATAATTCTATATATTAGTTTATTGTACATTGTTTTAGGTGCTGGCTTGGAGTCCACGTACCTTTTTAGAAGACTTTGAAGTTTTATTGCCAGCTTTTATGTCTCCTCAAACATCAATAGAGGTAATATTTTAAAAATTGAATATAACAGAAATGTATATCATGATGTCTTATAATAATATTTTATGTTCATATGCAGATATTTCATACATTGCTAGATTTGCCTTGTTTGACAGCATCACTTCTGATAAACCAGAGAGCTTCAATTTCTCAAGAATTAAACCGTCCAAGAAAAATACTTGCCATTGATCCAGCTGTTATCGAACAATTTTCTAATCCATCTCTTCAGCCAATGTTTCATTTTATTCTTAGACCCTGCAGCGGTGTTGGCGATACTTTTGAAAGGTATTAAAATTTCATAAATTAGAAGAAAGAAACTTCAAAAGTCTCTTATCTATTTATTTTTATTAACTAGAATTCATATATTTCATCAAACTATTGTATCATTGACTAAGCATCCGCAAGTGATTCAATGTGCACAATCATCAATTAGTTTACTTCAGTAAGTTTGTTTTTATTTTAATTATTTTTCATTATAGTAAGTTTCTTGATGAAATTATTGATAATTCTAGGGAATACTTTTCTATCTTTTTCCAATCTGCTGATTCTTATTTGGTTATCACACTATTTTGTGCAATCATTGAAAGAATACCTGTTATCTATCCCGTACATGATTATCCAGAACGTATTTATGAGTGAGTTTATTTCAAGTATATTAAATACAACGTTAGAACTTCTATATATTTTTAACTGCATCTTTCAGAATCATTGCCAAAACAGTTTTGCAGATGTTCTCTCATTATCCTGAAATAATAATACATGGCCAAAAAGAACTAGTGGAATTTTTAAGTCATTTGAAAAATTTCATGATTGCTCCTCAACTTTTTATGAATTTAGTAAGCCTGCTAAATTTATATTGCTTAGGCCAAGACTCCACTAGTGTAAAAACCTTCACCATAAAAACTTTTAATCACGTGACCTATTTGCATTTGTGTCTGGATTGCAGTGGAGGTCCGGCTAGCGAAGTTTTTACAGCAACGGTACTATCGAAGTTATAAAGACAATGATTATATTCCATGAGTTTTTTTCTGTACTACAATTACAAATGTAGTAAAATTAATATCTTTACTTTCATATATTAAGTTTTATTATCGTATTATTAATTAAGATAATATACAGCACTTATTAAGCTTAGCTTTTTTCATTATATACTCCTCTAAATTGAAGGATTTTCCTTTGGCCGTCCATATCGCGTGTTTTAGGCATCCATTATTATAATCGGGATACTTCTTGTCGTAGATACACAAATACTTTCGGATGTTTTCGATAAATCTTTCCAGATCTATTCTAGAGTAGCCACGAGGGAATGTACACAAAAGCTCATTTTCCTCCATTTTCGCACCATGACACAATGACCTAGATTTCACTGACTTCTGATTGGTGGATGGTACCATTTTACGGCTGTATTTGCGTTGAAAGTTGAACACTGCTCAACTCGCTTTTACACTGGTTTTACGACCTGCTCAAGCGTAAAATGTCAGGGTCACATGATTAAAACCTTTTACGGCGAGGGGTTTTTTTACGCCATTTTTACGATAGTGGAGTCTCAGCCTTAATATCTAAAAATATATTTAACAAGTTGATTCTCTTTCTTTAGGTCTGGATCGTTGGTGAATACACGTCACTCGCCTACAGCGAACTGTGCCGACCAGAAATTGTCACATTTTATTACGAAAATTTAGAATCTACCGTGTACGAAATGATAAGCAGCATTCAAACAAATTTAACTTTCATGAAACTCATCAATATTTCTGTGGCAACTTTAGCCAAAGTATGATCAACTAATTATATTAATTAGTTATATTATCCGAATTAATTATTAATATCCAATACAGTTAGCATCAAGATGTCAAGATTTAGTGCCAAGAGCTATATTATGTCTAAGTAAGGCTTCACAGGTGGTTCATAACAAAAATGACAGAGCACAAAACATTGTTTCTAAAAGAATAAATGAACTACTAGCTATTTTAAAGACACCAAAGTAAGTGGTTTTATATTAAATTATGATAACCTAACCAGTTTTTTAAATTTGAGGGCTTATTACAGAATATAAATATGTAAATTAATGTACAGTACAGTGATGGTTATTGCCGCAGCTAATGATTAAGTAGTAAAGGTCAATCCATTGACCTTCCATTGGTGTTTAATAAAAATAATATAAAAGAGAGAGTCCAAAATGCATTTTGGGTGTATTAGTATGTGTTATTTAAAATTACATCATTGTAAGTTTTTATTCTATACTAATTATAAAATTTAGATATAAACAAAAGTAGTCTTGTGTAAAGGTTACTCGTTACCAAGTACTGGTCCAATATATATAATAGACTCACAAAAACCTTTAAGTGACCAGTAAAATATTTAATTGAAAAAACAACAAACGTTTTCGACCGTATTTTTCGGCCTTCTTTGGGTTAAAAGTTCCGAGATTCGAAAAGCTGTTGTGCTTAAAGATTTAAAAGGTTTAAAATGCTAAAAGATTTAAATACGATTAAATAAGAAAAAACATTCTAAAACTTTTAAATCTTTAAGCACAACGGCTTTTCGAATCTCGGAACTTTTAACACGAAGAAGGCCGAAAAATACGGTCGAAAACGTTTGTTGTTTTTTCAATTAAATATTTTACTGGTCACTTAAAGGTTTTTGCGAGTCTATTATAAACAAAAGTAGTTTTTTAATATATTCACTGGTGTGATAAGCCCTAAACTTTAAACAACTGGTTAGGTTATCACAATTAAATGTAGTGACTAAGGGCTAAAAGCAATGATGATAATATATGAAATTATTTTTTATAAAACCACTTATTACTTTTATATTTTTCTTTCTAGTGTTGCATCTATCATTTTAAGTCCATCGAAGGATATTTATAGCAGGAGGTATGAGTGAATATTAATATAAATCTAAGTATATTTGAAGTTTACTATTAGTTAAGAATCAAACAAGATATTTGTGGAAATATGCAAATATATATGACCGAAAAATTTAACTATACAATTTTATTTAAATATTTCTAATTATAAGTACTGTAACTCCTTAATCTCTAATTTGGTTAAGAAATACAGTAGAATTTGGGTTATGACAAGTACTATCAATACAAATCAAGGATGATACAGTTGTTTTCAGCAAGTTTTAGTATCAGATCATTGCATAAATAATGTTTTTTGAGTGCCCATGTAATCAATGCCGTTTGATGGGCAAATATGAACTATATCAAGGTTATGGTACTAGCATTTGATAGGACAATTCTGTGTACATGTGCACAGAATGTGATCACCATGAACTGTCCACAGCAATTTGTTTGTCAGTGAAATGTGTTTAAACGTGGCAATGCCTAAACAACACATATCGCATGTTATGCTTTATGAGTTCCATCACAGATGTTCAGCAACCTCGGCATAAAACATTAATGCTGTATATAGGCACGGACCCTTATGTTCACAAATGTCAAAGATGGTTTAAAAGATTTTGGGTGGGAAACACTAGCCTCACTGATATGTCACAAGAAGGAAGACCTGTTGAGCTGGACAATGACCTTCTGCAAGTAGCTGTCAAGGAGAACTCATTGCAAATGGTTGAAGAATTAGCCACAGCATTCGACCCCTTCAATCATTCATTGGAATTTGCAGGACCTTGGTTGTGTGTTCGAACTGGGAAAATGGATACTCTGCAAGTTAATACCCAAGCAGAAATAGCAGCGTGTGAATGTTTGCAGTTCTGTTTTGACCCGTCACAGAAGAGAGCCATTTTAAGACAGAAAGGCAACAGTAGACGGAAAAAAAATGATCTTATATCACAACTAGAAATTCTTCCGTCAAGCATGACGGAATATTTTTTATGAGAAAGTAGAGATGGAAGAATCAAGAAGAGCTTCAAGTTGTGCTTGATGATGATATGCTGTTTCTGCAGTCCTTGACAAAGCCATTCTTACTTGATGTTGCTCAAATTGGAACTTCATGGCCTTCAGAGGTCCCAATTTCACAATTACCCTTTCCCCTAGGCATTTTTTTTTTTCCTGACAAAATAGCAAGTCTTTTTAATTCCATGTTGATAAAACAAAGATGAATTGTACGTATGTAAATTAGATGAGCGATAGTGCTTTGAAAATAATGGGCTCATTAGATCATTACATGGTCACTATGGAAATATATATATTTTTTAATTTGTTATAGAAGTGACGCAATGCAGCTATCATTTTTATGATTAAATTTAATGAAGCAAGTTTAAAATACACCATTTTCCAAAATGTTTAAAAATGCAAGTTAAGGAAAATTTCCTCATCAAGCATGATTGTCACATGGTCACTGATGTGACTGCAACAATAGTGCAATCACCGATCTGAAATCAATAAAACATTTATTCTATAACTAATATTTCTACAAAATAAGTAGCCTATGCTTTCTATCAGAACATAAAATGAATTTAAACAAATTTCATCTGGATTGGACAAAAATTGCAGGAATGTGTTGTGTGTGTGAATAATTCCTTATATATTAGTAATGTTAAATACAAAACACCTTGTGTGCCTAAAGGTGGTGAGGTGAATCACAAAACAAGAACTCCACCCACAGAAAGTGGTATTGTGTGTTTGGTGGGGTATGCATGGTATCATTCCTTTTGAATTGTTGCCACCAAACCAGACAATCATGACGGATATGTACTATCTGCAATTGGAACCAGTCAATCGTAAAGGCATAATGATATATAGAGAATGACTACTCGTACACACCAAGGATGACCTACATAAAATACCCATCCTCTTTATTTGCCAGACCTTTCACCAACAGATTTCTATCTGTTTTGCAGTCTCCAGAGCCATCTTTGGGAAAACGCTGCAAAATGTGTAAAGTACTAAGTTATTTTTACATTTTTTACAACAATTATCGACACGACTGTGTGCCGGAAATAGCCATTACCTAACGTGGTACTTTACGCGGATTTGCGTTAATATGCCAGGCTGGACTTTAAGCATGCACCGAAAGAAATAATGACAAAGTTAGTCAAAACCAATCCACTATTTAATAATTCTACTAATGACTATGTACAAAAAAATTAGTAATAATCAAACAACAAATTTATTCAAAAAAAATCAATAAGAATCAACCCAACAAAACTCAAATCAATCTATTTGCTAACTTAAAATCTATTCCCCTTTAGAATTCGACAAAAAAATTCAAAGACTTAACTTATGTACAACAATTCTTATGAACTAAGGTCCTAATCGTCACCTCAATATACTAGGAACCTTTTTCCTCAACTCTCAAGACTTTCTAATCTTCGATCCACAAATCAAATAACTTCAAATCACCTTGGAACCACTTTATCGCTATATCGGATATCTCTTGTCGTTTGCTGCTATGTAGCTCACCACGCTCGTTGCTAACAGAAGCTCTCACCTCTGTCATCTTCACTTGAGGTTCGGACTTTATACTATGAGGTGACGTCACAATTCTGATTGAGATCACTCCCCTCATTTACATACTTATTGCTAAAAGTAAACTTTTCCTTTCTGCATGGCAGCCTATTACCCGACAATACTCGCTAACCTTTTACGTTATTCTTTTTGACAATTTTTCGGGATGTTTTTTTTTCTTTAAGGTTTAGCAAGTTCCTAAGTTGTGCTTGTGGGATCTCCCCCCCTCTTTCTCGGTGCGGACTTACTTTTTTCCGTTCGCAAGTGTGCGTGAGTTTTTTTCTACAGTGAGTTGGTTCTTTTCTTCTATTTTTAAGTTTTTTCTACGGTAAGTGGTGAGGAAACTTTTGTCCTAACAAAACATAAGCCCCCAAAATAAAAAATAACTAAAAATAATGCTCGGACTTGGTTCCTTACAAATGTGGAAGATGTGTGGTGAATGATGTTTGAGTTTTTTACAGCAATGTTCAGATTTCTTTCAGAGGGATTCAAAAACTGGTTAACAGATGAGGATTGTGTTCCATCCAGATATGTTTGCATTCTTTCTTTCAGTGACGATATAGCATTGTATGCTTCAAGTAATGTTTTAACATTGTAAATGCCATTTTTTTCTAATTGCATTTAGAATTCAATTCTTCAATAAAACGTAATGTTGTGGTGATATTGGCAGTTTAAGTGGCTGTATTTTGAAGATTAATTTATGTGAAAATATAATGTTCAGAGTGCAAGACACGCGAAACGTTGCGGCTTATATCATTTTGATATTCCAGAGAATCTGTAACCCACTGAGTTTTTTTTACCATTTTATTGTAAAATTGAAATGAAGTCATTCATTAGAAAAAATATTTTTTTGGCATTTACAGTATTTGTAATCTGTGGTTTGTTTGTGGGAATCATAACCAAGTTCTACTGTATATACAGAAAATATTCAAATTATATATATAATCCATAAAACATGTATTGTTTTCAGGTGGCACAGTGATCCAACAAGTCTACCTTTCATGCTAAGAACAATAACAAATATGTTAAGCGAAGATTAAATATATTTAATCAAATCCCAAGATACGTGTTTTAACATTTTTATTACAACTACTACATACAAGAAATGTGAAGAAAAATCAAATATGTAAAAAATAACACAAATTTAATATATTTTTTGATCAATGCATCTCGTGAGGCTTAAAGAATTTTATACATCCATATGAGAAAGTAGCCGAAGTCGGTCGAGATATTTACATGATAACATCATAACTAAGGAAACAACAATTAATCGAGAGGAGGAATGCTTCTTTGTCAAACAATGGCTTATTTTGATTTATATAAATTATATCACAGTTTCAACAAAAATTATGGGGAGGTGTGGGAATTCTCTCGTCTCCGAAAATTGCATTCTAGTGCATCGGTGCCTCTTAAAATATAAATTTAATCACTACATTCTTTGCCGGTATAAGATATTAACTATACCGAGCCGACGTGGCGTCGAGGATTTTAGCGGCTATAGTGTGACCCAAATACAAAGATTGAAGTGATGACCTCGGCGGCCGGACGAAAGGAGTTCCGGACTCGAACCGGTCACCTCGATCCAAACAGGTTGTCGACTTCATTTATATCCAAGAAAGTTTCTTCGTTAATCGTATACATAATTTTGTACTTCAGACGAACTTTTTCCTGTAAAAAATGATGTTTAAAAATAGAATTTTTATCACAAATACATAATCAGAAGGTAGTATACCTTGTTTGGGTTAGCAATCAGCATGACTTGGGTAATGGCGGCGGGTGGAAGTATCGGATTGTAAGACGGGAGATCCGTTGCCGAGGGTGGTTGTAATTTGACTTTTATATTCTGAAAAATTAATTATTCGTGGAATGTGTAATTGTCAAAAAATATACTACTAAAGATTTTGTTTCTACTATTGCTAGATAGTCAGAAAGTTTTTACCTTTGGTACTGCTGCATGGAAACTAAATTTCTTTACAGGATTTGCATTCTGACTTAGAGTTGACACAACCATAACAAAAACATCAGGCACTGGACTATCTTTACCAAAATGCACTACGACTGACACTCCATTTTTCTCGTGTAACGGAAGAGGTGGAGTGTTTCCTGAAGAGAAAATATATATTTTATACATTACTTTATATTAGGTTTAATTAATATAACTCTATTAGAATATTACCTGGTTTAATTGTTTCTAACGGAACTGTAATATCATTCAGTATTGATGTATCGTGCAAGGGACTTTTTGAAGGAGAGTCTCTTGAATTTTGTAGCGAGGAATTGCCTATCAAAGGTTGACTATTGACTAGAGTCAACGACGACCTCGAGTGTACGGGAGAATTTGGTGATGAGGTATCTTGTTTTTGAATTTTATTCATCGGTAATTTTTGAGGGGTACTTTAAAGAAACAGACGTAGTTGCAATATTTACAAAATATCATGTAATCTAATCAACAAATAATAATCAAATAACCTTGGAAATTCTGCTTTTAATGGCACGTTAGGTGGCAGGCTTTGTTTCAGGAGAGATTGTCCGAGAGCATCCAAATCTTCAAAAGCCTTTGAAGCGGAGGAAGAGATTTTTTCTTGAGTATTAAATGAATTCGTAACTAGTTTGTCCTCGCTTTTACCGACTAGATGCGAGACCGCCGAAGAGGCAGATACTGCTTTCATAACTGTTTAGAGAAACGGAGCGAATTGTGTTTAAAAACTGATAATGTGTCAAATTGAAGATGTTTAAAATTTTAACAAAATTACCGGTAGCCGTTTCCTGTGGTAAAATAGTACTGAATGGAACGGGTTTGATTTCGGCTGGCAACAGGGGCACCACGGGCGTGATGTTTGGCACGCTGGATGACGACGAAGGTATCGTGGCATATGGCATGCTACTTTCCACGGACGTGTTGGCTAGGAGACTGCTGGTGCCGTCCATGCTCGGTTTAGGAGAATTACTGTCGATAATAGCAGAAGAAAAAATTTGCCTCAAATCCATTTGGTTGCTTTCAACCTTTTTAGTTGTGGCATCCAATGAATTTTTGCTAACGGGTGCAACACAAGAATCATTCAAACCTATCAAACAACAAAGCAAATAAATCATGAATACTCTTGTTAATCTATACATATAATAGATATGGGTTGATGATAATAATCTCTATATATATATATATATATATAAAAATGGACGTGTGTGTCCCTATATTTCACTTTTCAGCCAAAACTACACATCGCACATGAATGGTGTTTGTATGTGGTAGTAGCCCCAAGTCTCCATTCGTGCACTATGGGGGTTGCGTCTCAATAGCTATAAGGGTGCGGGAGATATGGGGCTGAAAGTGGTTGAAAGTGGTTTTCTATTTCAAATGTTATGTTCGAATTTGTTCGAATTTATTTCGAACAATATTCGAATTTGAATTCGAACTTAAAATTCGAATATCGGTTCAATTATAAAACGATTGTAAACGTTCCAGAAAATTGATTAAATTGAAAATAGTTTGTTTGACTGGACGTAAAAATTCTCTAATTAGTCTGGAAACGGGGGACCTAATTCTTGCATTCTGTGAAAACGGGTAAGATTGGCTATAATGTAATTATCTTAATCTTCACTATCGTTACTTTTTGCCCAGCAAAGCGGGTCCTTGCAGCTAGATTCTAGATTACATGCAAATAAAAAACCAGTGAAGCGGGTCCTTGCAGCTAGTAATAATAAACACTGAGCCCAAACGGTTGGGAGTTGAAATTTGGTACGCAGTTAGGATACCAAATTAGCAATTAACTATGTCATGAGAATACACACTAAGAAGAGATTTTTGGAAATTTCCCCTAGGGGAAGAGGGAGAGGTTTAAAGATTACCTTGAAGAACTCAACTTCTACTATAGTATTTTAGGTGTGTTTTTTTTTGCAGGAAAGCGAACATATTTTTAGACCCATCTAAAAATTCTGTAATTATCCTTGGAAGAAGGACCTAATTCTTGCACCTGGTGAAAATGGGTAATCTTCACTATGGTTACTTTTTGCCTAAGCAACACTGGGCTCATCTGCTAGTTAATTATAAGTTGGGTAAATACAATATTTATGTTATCATTCCACTAAAGTAGAAAAAGGTGTTAAAGTTTCAGCTATGTCAGAGTATTTGGTGCATCAAAATCTTTTCCATTGCCAGTGTCATCAGGCATCATATTTAATATGCAATGAAAAATTTAATGACGACTAATTCAGATATCGAAGAGTCAGTGAATAAGACAGCTCCATAGATTTAGAGTAAACATTTAAGGAGCCAGAAAATGTTTTCATTTTTAGATGTTCTAAAAATGTTAATCATCTGAACTACTTGAAAAAAAAATAATGTTCTAAACTCTATTTTATACTTAGAAGTGTAAGGAATTTAAGTTAAACAACATGGATTATTTAAAAGAAAATAAAAAAGAACAATATTGATTTTGGCAGTCCCATTTAAAAGCTGTTTTCATCACAATTACTGCTATTACTAACTCTTCTTACGGTTCTCAGTGGTATCATTTTCACTTTTGTCTGCTCCCATTGTATACAGATGCCTTTGTTCTTTGCAAGTTGTGCAGCTATCTTTTCATTGTTCTTCTAATTGATTTCAGTTCTTTTCCTTTTTTGTTATTTAAGGGGTTCTGGTATACTCCTGTTTTTGCTGTTTGTATTTTTTCTCTTTCTTTTCTAATGTAGTTGAATACTATAGGATAACATAAGAGATTTCATCACAGGTTATTAGAAAGCAAATTATTATAGAACATGTAGGGCCCAACTGTCACTTAATATTTCTTTTAACCCTTCTACAATGATGTGACGATATATTGCCAGTTTGGCTTCAGTCAAAACATACAAAATGATGATATTTTCTTCATTTCATAATTTTTAATCAAAAATTCTCTGCATTGTTTTTCTTGTGTTGGTGATATTTTATTGTTGCCCATTGCCTATAAGTTGTGTGCATATATACACATGAATCAGTAAATTTTTTTTCTGTACTCATTTTATTGTTTTACAATTGGTATTTACCACTTATTGACTATAAGTTATATATATATATATAGAGATAGTAGTTGCACCAGTTAATGACCATATTGTCAGAAATTTGTTTAAAATAATCTCCACGGTAAGAAAAACTAATCAAAAGTGCTGAATTATTGAAAATCAACTACATTTTGAAATATTCTCTTTCATTGGTCATTCAGAAATGCATGATTGTGTTTGAAATATGGAAGCTTTCTTGAGATGTGTGTGTAAGGTGTAATCTTGCTTGCATTGTAATAATAAGGTAAGAATTGTGGCAAGGATTCATACTGTAGCATTTTAAAATAATTATTTATTGATTTTCATAAGCATTGAGTAAAGAAATAGTTTTGTAGATATTTAAAGGTTAAAATTAATTTTTGTACTAAAACCATATTTTAAAGTTGTGTAGATAGGGGTAGTCACTCAATGGATCTGAAAAGTGATTCTTCTCCAGTGAACGAACACTTCGGTCATTTAATGGTGATAAAGTAATATGCGTTATTTTCATTTCTGAGCACAAAATTCAAAATCTATGTATGATTGATTGACCAAAAAACTAACTTGCATCAGTTCATAGTTCAAAGTTATGTGGTCATTCATTGCTGCAAATTAAAATGTTTTTAAAAATAAATTCAAATGGTCTGAGATGAATAATTATTCAGATGAAATAAATAAATAGAAGAAAGCCTATGGACATTTTCAATATAGTGAAGATGACTTGTATGAAGTTGTAGAAACAGTACATTAAAATAAAATGAGTGCTAATAAGACTAGCAAAAAATTTAACATTCCAAAAGGAACTTTAATAAATAAATCACATGGAAAGATATCAATGGAGTGAAAAATGGGCCCTGCAGCAACATTAACAAATCAACGCCAAAGGGAAGAAAATTGACACATTTTGTTTCCTTTGGCTGTAGATTCACACTGTCATTGGCCAATATCTAAAGGAAAAGTCTGTATATTCCAATTCGTTTTCTAGATGATCTTTTATGAATCGATAAGTTATGATCAGATTAGCCCCATTGTAAAAGTTTACATAGAATGTATATTTCATATAGAAAATAACAAAGAAAATATAATATAATACAAAGAAAGTTGTAAGAGCAAAATATTTTTCTCAAAAAAGTCTAATATCAACTGTACAAAGGCGTCAATAACAACATACCTAAAGCGAGTAATTCTTCATCCAGTATGATAGCATCTTTGTGAGTATCTACAGTTGCTTCTTGTGTTGGAGAACTAAGATCCATCAGAGACAATTCATCTGAAATTAAAATATTACGTCAAGAAATATATTGTTGTCTTCCTTAAACTGAAAAACGCGTTTATGTCTTACTCTTTGAACTATCCTTTGCACTTTCGCCATTTGTGGCCCCAACGTCATTAATGCCGATTTTCTTCTTGTAGTTGTTGATCACTGCCGTTAATTCGTCATTCGCTTTGAGCAGATCCTCTATGGTAAAATAAATTTAGAAACATTTATCTGTCAAAATAAATCATAAATTTACTTTCTAAATGTTTTACTTGAATAATTTTATCGTCTACTAACCAAATCCTTCATCGTTCTCGTCCACTTCTCCCGCCAATTTGAAAAGTTTTGGTCTCAATCTCTCACAACTTTCGTACAATTCCTAAATAGTATGACGGAGATTAATCTTAAAAACATTTATAACAATTTATTTAAGAAAAAAGTAAATTTTAATTTGTAATATAAATTCAATTTAGCATGCAAAAAAAGAACAATCAAATTACTTTTGAAAGTTCTGTATTACCATATTTTTTGACAAGACACATGTTCACATTATAAAAAATAAATAAAATAAAATAGAACAGCTTCAACCATTTATCGCACTCATTAAAGCAAGCATTAAGGCGCTCGAGTGATTTCAATATACTGAATTTTGTTCAATGTGGACAAGAATGCACCTTATGAGTCAAAAAATATGGTACCTTCATCAATTCTTTCTCTTCGTTAGAGGTTTCCTCTGGTTTGTAATTATTAAGCATATCTGTCAATACTTTAGCATTATTATGTACAGTTTCTAATTCGTTGGCTCGCCTCGCTATCTGCTCCATTCTCTTATCCGCCTGCAATAATAAACGAAACCATTTAAACCTGATTAATTATTAATTTTTAGAAAGAGAATGAACTGGATTACCTGCTGGACCATAGTTTTGATGAGCTGATTAGCCGCTTGCAGATCCACCGGATTCCTGCTCTGTAATAGCCTTTGTAACAACTTTAAAAATAAAATAAAGATTAAGGATGCTGAGATGGATGATTTTGTTAAGAAAAAAAATTGTGTTGCACCTTCGATTTTTCTTCATCTTCAAATATGTCATTCTTGGGCCTGGGAGGTGGCGGATTGGGTGGAGTGTAATCCTGAAAAGTAAAAGAAATAAGAGAAATTTAATTGAATATGTTTGTGATAGAACATTCTCAGTGAACACACACACAATACAAAACAGATTGTTCCTACAGTATCATTTCTATTCTTATTTTTTATATACACTCTCTGCCATAAAAATTAGTGCACCAAGAAGGAGTTGTCAAATCAAATGAAATTGTACACATATATAATTGTACTTTCTTATATCACTGTTTAACAGTGATATAAGTAAGTGATTAAAAAATGAAAGCAAAAGAATCATTTATTGCAGGAAAAACTACAAATGAAAGGAGGTTCTAGTACCCTGTTAGGCCATGTCTAGTGCTAATACATGATGTGATATGGATGAGCATGGAAGCATACAGGTACTGTACGGTGTCCTGCAGCATCTCGGTCCACAATTGTTGCAAATGGTCTTCTAGTTTGACCAAATTCCTAGGCACTCCAAATTGGTGCCAGGTCCAACTTGGAGTGCCAGGTGATTCCAGACATGTTTGATCAGTGATAAATCGGGGCTGGGCAGGTCAGGAAAGCGTGGCAATGTGGCAAAGGCAGTCCTGTGACGTCTTTCCTGCATGTGGTCAAGCACTATCCTGTTGGAAAATTTCTCTTGAGCCCTGCCATGAAAGGCAATACATGTGGCTGTAAGATGTCACTAACATACTGTTGGGCTGTCATGATCCCTTGGATCACTACTAGAAGTGACCAGCTGTCGTATATGATAGCACATCCCAGACCATCACACCAGCTGTGGGGGTGGTGTGCCACTCCAAGGCATAGACAAGATTAAATCATTCACCATGGGACCTCCAGATATGAATATGGTCATTGCCTATACCCAAACTGAATCTAGATTTGTCGCTGTAGACAAACCCAGTTCATTCTATTGCGATCCAATTCCATTGAGAGTGACACCACTCCAAACGGAAGCGACAGCAGATGGCTGTCAATGGTAGCACACATAATGGCTGCTGCAATACCAAATGCTCCTCACCCAGGCATCATAAATCAGTATAGGACAAACATGGGCCCATAATGATGTGTCTGGATGGCGGACAATGCTATGGTTGGCTGTGTGCATGCTTGTTGGAAAATCGGGCAGCCCTCTCAGCTAGTGGTCTACAGAGGACATCCCGAACCCCAGATGCTGTGTGTGCAAGCTCTCTCTCGTCCACTAGTCCTAACACCTCCTCACAGTGTTGTCAGATGGTCTGGGTGGAGAGCTTTTCAGCAAGATGATCATCCAGCTTCTCTCAACCCGATGATCCTTCTCCCTCTCAAACTCAGTTGTTGATATGGTCTTAGATTGTGATGTAAAAGCATCTAGTGATACAGCATTCCTCTGCAATAAGTAAACTACAGACAGGCTACCTTTGCATGCTATTTTTACAGGTCAAAGACACACTTTAAGGGACCTGTGCTTGCATTACACAATGAGCCATCATGCTACAACTATAATCATTTCCATATCTGCTTGCCAAGTTTTGCAGCAATACAACAACTCCTCCTTGGTGGACTAATTTTTATGGCAATGAGTATAATTTGTATGGCAATTAAACTGGATTGAATCATGTGTCAAACCATTCTTATTTTAGATAACTGATTAAATCTTATCACAAACAAATTTTAATATCAAGAATCAATTTATTTTGTAATTAACTACTATATTTTTAATTTTGATGTTAACATACTTAAGAATCATTTGATCATGATTTGATAATTCAGTTTTATTATTAAACTGATTACAATATTATGCAAATATAATATATAAAACACTCATCCTTTTTGTTCAAAAAAATTAATTATTTTATAATAAATACCAATGCATCCATTTATTAAAATGCATACAAATGTTTGAAAACATTACCTCCAAGACGCCCACTGGATCTTCGGTGACGACTCCTTGACGTTTTAACATCTGATATGCTTCGAATATCTTTGGTTCGTGCTTAAGCTCCATGCTCCACTTAAACATCAACTCTACAATCTTCTTTTTTACATTTGACGAGGCTTTGTTTCCCATATACTAGAAAAATAAAATGAAAGCTTATTGAACAAGCGCAATGACTATTAAATATAACAAATGCTCATAGATAAGATTTATTTATAATAACAAGAAAAATTCTGCTCATAAATACACTAGAACAGGGAATAAATACTAAATATATATTTCACATTTAACTTTAGTCTTTCAATGCAAACATAAATTTTCAAAATATCATTATTAGATAATATTTATGTTATCTATCAGTATTATAGGTGCACAAACTTCGATATTGTTCTCTGATGAATTCAAATAATTGCATATTTACACAAGACAATATGCATTCTTCCTAGAATGTTCTCAATTCCATTTATTGAAAAGTTTACATAAATAACATTCCGTTTTAAAAATGGGAAATCTTAAACAATTGAACATTTCTCCGCAATGGGAGTTCAGGTATGCGACTTATAGCTTCACTTCAGGAGAACCTACGGAAAGAAGAATGGGAATTAGTCGTAAGAGGAGGGAAATGACTGGAGGAAAAAGCCTTGGAGAAGTTGGACAATGCCTAGAAAATTGCAGAGAAAGTTGAAAATTTCACGCAAACATGTTCGTCAGATGCCAAAGGAAAGTTAAACGACTCTCAAAAAAAAAAAGTCTGCTACAAAATACACGATGAGTCAACTTGCTACTAAAAAAACCCCCCACTGTGGAAGCTGGGTGATGGAATCTTGAAGGCATCAAACAATCTTGACATGATTACAGATGACAAGACCTATTTCACTTTATAATTGGTATATAAAATTAAATAATTAATAATAATAAATTTTAGCAAATCGTAAAAAAATTATTTACATAATGAAGATTTTTAGTTTCGGATAATTTATTTAAACCATAACAATTATTAAAAGTTTTAAAAAGATCTTTATTCTTTAATATTTCCTTTAACATAAATCTAAGTACAATTTAATTAAATAATAATAAAAATGATTAACAATATATTTACATAAACTAAACAATTTCTACAAATTGAAAGGAAATGAAAATCTGGTCTATTTTTATTGTGTTATCACAGAAAAACCACATACGCCACATTTTTATAGTGGGTGAGTGGATAAAACTATCGAAGGGCAGTAATCAGCTTTGAGTTATGTCTGATCGATGGGCTGGCCGCACTGAGTTTCCTGGGTTTTCTTCATGTGTCTAACATCTAAATAGGGACAGGGTTTTCGTACAAAATACTGCGAGGCATCTCGTTAGATCACTGTCTTGTTACATTATCCTTAAAACATTCTAACTATAAATATAGTTGGCGCATTACATCAAAATCCATACTATAGATTTAATTTTCATTTCTATTTAAATCTGAAATTTATATTTCTTTTTCCAATCTACACCTAAGTATAAGTATCAAATGACCAAACTTATTCTTTCTCATTTTGAGAGACAGAGCAAAAAGACGACTAAAATTCAAATTAATGCCAGGATTGAGGATAAGTTTGGACTGTAATAATGTCACTACTTAATTTGTTATTAAACAATGGCAATATTATAGCCTGACATAATCTGGCAATTGTTTGGTACTAATCTAAAAAAGTCGGGTTAATCGATGTTTATATTTGTATAAAAGTCAAATGTAAAATAAAATTAAATTTTAGGAATGGATTGCAAACCAGAATAAATTACACTGCTTATGATAATATGAAAGTTATTTTAAAGAGAACAAAAATGAAACACTTCGTAAATAACGGAAATATACTTACTTTTGGAGAAACAACCTTTATCATTTCGTTTAAGAAACGAAATTTTCCTATTTCGTTATGAAACTTGGAGCTACATCTTTTGACCATTTCTTCCAATACCTAAAGAAAGAAATACATAAATAAATAAATATTTAATGAATTTACAATTTAGACTATATCATTTTGCAAATAATTTCGATTAAATTCCTGCATTTGTTTTTATTTTAAATACAGTTTATATTATATTTTTAATAATTGGTGTTTGAAAATACCTATAATATGTTTCAGTTATTACCATGGATATTTTTTGGCAGGAGAATTCTACTTATATAGAAATCACATAGCAGATAGGATCAAAATAAATGGTTAATAATTTTACATTACTTAAGTGGATTGGCAATTTTGCTTTGATTAAACAGAATTTTAATTGCACTAACATAAAATTTAATTAATGGAATCTGTTAAATTTATTTCTTTAAAAAAAAAAAATTATCTTAGAATAGATTTATAAAACTTTACTTATTGTAATCATTACCTTCTTAAAAATGCCTAATTACCTGAATTACCTAATTCTCTTTTCACATTATCATCATCTATATGTACTGATAACAATAGCATGTTATCAGCCTTAATCAGTGCTGTAAGTGTTTAACTGTTTTGCTATTTGGTAGAGTTCGGTAGTTTAAATTGCCGGCATTTCTTACTTCAATTATATGATAATTGTAGAAATAATAACAGGCAAATAATACTGGGCATATTATATATTAAATAATAATTATTATAATTAAAAATGTGTAAATTGAAGATTTATTAAACTGTTTAAACTTGTCCTTTTACTGTCGGAGTCGATAAAACTAAAATTTCCATTTAGTTTAGTCTTGTTCACTCATGTCTTTAATGTTATCAGCTTAGCTGAGTATCAGTTATAATAAATAAGCTAAATACCATTTTAAAGGTGATAACGTGGAAACTTTACATATTTTTGCTAGATGATCTCAGATTTAAATCTCTTGAATCTCTTGTGCCTTCTCTATTTTGCCATATATTAAATAAATAAATTTTACATTAGTGCAATTAAAATTCTGTTTAACTGAAGCAAAGTCGGCAATCTGTTTTATTTAACAAAAATGTAACAAAAAAGTCAAATTAATTCTATTCATAAAATATTAACAGAAACTATTCAAACAGATAAATAATTAGATAAATTATATCTTATTCCGAAAGTTAAACTAACTGGTATACATATCTGCAGGCTCTTTTCTACATTGCGTTAACTATTTCCAAATTATTATTACCATATTTCTGAGGAAATAAGAACATGCTTTTATAGAGAGGACAAAAATCGGCACTATGTTCTGCAAAAGTGTATTTTCTATATCTAGAAAACACACTATTTATAAAACAATTTTTATAGTATTGAAAGACTTTTTTATTTTTAATAATGGTTACTACAGAGATGTCACCAAATTATTATATTTATATTGACAAAACAGTGCAGCATCAAAATAAGCTGGCACATATATGAGCATGTTCTTATAAATATGGAAATATGGTAATTACTTTTAATTATTAAAATATAAGACTGTGAAATTCATAACTCAAAGCCAAATTAATATAAATAAGAATATCTTGGAGAAAGTTTGCAATGTTTGCTAATTTGTGTTGATAACATCAGAAATTTCTTCAAGCCTTTTTACTCAAGTTAATTGTGTGAAATATTTTAAAAAATTTAAGATTTCATATTTTTTTTTCCTAATATACGAGGTGTATTCAAGTTATTCAAGGTTAAGTTCAACACCTCTGATTTTTTCTCAGGACTAGAAACAGAGAGAAACATGTGGTTTGTTTTAAAATATGCATGCACTCATTGTGAATGCGTGACAGAGATGGCAGCACTGTACAGCACACAGAACTCTAGCAGCAGTGACGAGAGTGATGACTGTTTTTGATACTTAAAATGGCAATGTTTTCATTACAAGAACAGCCTGTAATCATTTGTTTTCTCTATTTGAGTGGTGTGACACCGATTGAAATTCATCACAGTTGAGTGAGATATGTGGTGATGGTGTCATGGATGTGTCTAATGTGCGTTCGTGGGTGCGACAGTTTAAAGAAGGTAGAACATTATGTGACAACAAACCAAAACAATCTTGGCCTCACCCAGCTGGTCTGACGACATGATCAAGTGAGTGGAGAAAGTTGTTTTGGAGGATCGCTGAATGAGTGTGGAACACATCACCTCCAAAGTTGGCATTTCCGTGGGATCTGTCCACACAATTCTGCACGAAGACCTGAAAAGACCAGCACATTGGGCAAATGCGATGGTGCAGTTTCTTCGTGACAACAATTTTGAAGTGATTTCTCATGATCCCTACTCATCTGACCTGGTTCCTAGTGACTTTGGCTGTTTCCAAATATGAAAGACACTCTGCATGGTCGCACATTCACTAGCTGTGTCGCTATTGCACCAACACTTTTCCAGTGGTCAAACCACACTCCTAAAGAAATGTTTGCAGCAGCCATGGAATCATAGCGTTGACGTTGTGCAGGGAGATTACGTTAAGAAGTGACACCAGTTTCACAGTTTTCATGTGATTAGTTTGTGAGAAAAAAAAATCGAAGATGTTATAACTTGAATGCACCACGTATATTTTCAATTGGTGTCTACTTAACCAATGAAATTCTGCTATTTCATACCATCTGAGTATCGCGATAAATGTGACAACGGTAGGCTGAAATAACCAAACTCTTTACATGGTTTTCGTTTTAATGTTTGTTATATTATAGTATTTGATGTATATAACTACAAAGGTTATCTTACATAAAGGTTTATCATATTTTAAAAAGTCTTTATTCCTCTGCTATACACAACTTAAAGAATTTTAAAAATGTGTTAGATTGGGCACTTGGTGTAATAAACACTTACATAAGATAACCTTTATAAAAATAAAATAATAGAAGGGTTAGAAGTACAAAATAATCTAATAATCTTAATGTTAGTTCTTATTTTTGTCCAGGCAATGCCAGGTTTACCTGCTAGTGTATATATATATATATATAATCAAGTAGTTGAAAGGATAGTTTATAACAATCAATCAAACATCTGGAAATAAGCTATATTTATGCTATAATTTCATTATATATATATGCATAGACTATATTTCATGAGGATAAATTGTGGATCATCATAAAAAACAGTCTGTCTGAAATAAAGTATAGTTTATGCAGTAAGGTAACTTATCTGCTGCTTTTGCAACTTTTCAAGAAGTATTTAAATTGTTTTTTTTCCCCAAAAGCCATCAATAGTATGTTTAGAAAATGTGGAATAATCTTTGCATGTTGTGAATATATGCATTTGTTGTCATAATAAAGATTTTTAATACTCTCTTCTGTTCACTTCTGTGGGCCAATTGACATTATTGGATTTGTTTTCTACCAGAGAGAATAAGTTTAACCCGGTAAAACCATTATTACTGAAATATAAGAAATTGGACTTTATCTTAAAAGCTTGTAAATTTTCATTACTTCTCTCTCAATATATATATATAATGACTCTCTAGAGAACTATTTAGAAGCTAATTAGAGCCTGTCAAATGTTCAATCTCTACAGAGAAAAGGGAGTGTCCAGAGACCTAGCAGGTCAGATTCAATGAGAGATTATGTGACTGGCAAAGAAGTCTTCCAAAAACTATAGTATAAAAACCAGAACATCTGTGAACTAATAGTAATGTCATCTCATGCAAAGTGGAAATGCAGGACATAACCTACAGGTCTTGTATGCAATAGCTATAACTTTATATATGCTATTGTATAGCTTTAATGGCATTACAACACCCCGTATTTTCTAAAAATTCAGTAATTGCATTCAGTTCAATTCAAGTTAACATTCCAATTTAGAATTTACCTGTAGACATGATGTAGGCTTATGAAATTAGCCAAAAATATTTGTCAACTTAATAAATCTCTGCTGGAAAAGTGTGGACAGTGTTTTATTTGTAAGTTCATCTTAGTTCCAGCTTTGCAAAAACTGTTGACATGTATAATAAAAAAAATTAATGTGGTAAAAATTTCAATTAGAGAATACAACTCCTTTTCAATAGTTTAATAATACAGTATCTGTGCATTTATTGAATTTTAACACACATTATATACTTGTTTCTTTAAGCACTGTTTACGTACAAAAACACTTGTTTAAAATTGCATCATATTAATTAAGTGCTACAATTATTTCAATTTAATAAAGAAAATTAAATATTTTATTATTTTTAAATAATATAGTTCTATATATATACTTTATTTACTTTAATAAATACTTTTATTTAACTTATGGAATCTTATATTTCTAATGTTTGAATTCAATCAAATTTATACATTTAACATATGAGCAAATAACTTACAAAAAGAGCTAACATGGCTTCCCGTTCTTGAGGTGATTGTATTTTATGAGCGAGGAAACGAAGGGAAGTCTGCGGACCATCTTCCTCCTTGTCCAATTGTAAACATACTGCCTGGAGTGTTTCTATGTTCGGTTTTACCAGTGGATTAGTCACCTTCACTGTTTAAAAATAAAAATGTGTTGTAAGATTTTAAAACTCTCTTAAATTTAATATTTATCATTACATTAAAGAAATTTAAAAATTAAATAAAAATTCACATATAGTTAGATGAGTTTATGGCATACAGATAAATAATTACTGAATATTGATGATGATTTATTAATCAGTTAGTAGATATTTTGACAATTGCAAATAATTAATTTTATATCCAAATTCTGTTGTGTATTAATAATAATAATAATAATGTCTACTGGTGCCTGGCCCGAAAACATAAAATAGAAGTTGCTGACCAATGGTGGAAGGAAATTCTACTCCAACCAAAAGTTAAGGAAAATAGTTTAGCCAAAATACTATGGGAAATGCCTGTCCAAACTGATGTCACTGTATCTCACAACAGACCAGATTTAATTTATGTTGATAAAAATCGTAATAAAACTTTTAATAGATATAACTGTACCATCAGATTATAACATTAGTGCTAAAGAAATTGAAAAATTGAGTAAATATCATTTTCTGAAATTGGAAGTTAACCGCCTGTGGAATACACAGACGACTGTTGTTCCAATAGTAATAGGAGCAACAGGAATAGTAGCAAAAAACATAAAGAAATACATAGATCAATTAGAATCCAACATTGATATTAGTATCCTTCAGAAACAGGCAGCTATACACACATCACTTATACTCAATAGAGTGCTTGGAGATGCTATCTATGAGGCCAATACAGCAGATCAGCAAAAGCAGGATATACATCAATCTCAAGGCATATAGCAATCTTCAAATCAGCAGCAATCATCAGATATACATCATTCATTAGTTAATCAGGATTTACCTAATACAATTTTTTGAGACTAGTACACAAAGCTCTTTTGGAAACTTGTTGAGAAGTGGAAAAGGGAGAAGAAGAGAACTAATTGAAAGTAAAGAGCAATTAATACAGTAAAGGGGGGAAATAGGTACCTTCTTTCCCGTGGGTTACGGGACGAGGTATTCTTTATTCCAATGTAATTTGTGAATATTTGTTTTACAATAAACAATAATAATAATAATAAGATGCAAAGAACAGTTATTCATAGATTCGGTCATTCTACGGCAAGCACACAAACAACACAGAAACATACACATGGCATATATAGACTACAGAAAAGCATTCGACAGTGTTCCACACAGTTGGCTGCTACATATTCTACACATGTACAAAATACATCCATCACTCATTGCATTCTTCGAAAACACTATGCAGCACTGGAGAACAACACTACATCTCAGGGTTAGTAACACTTCCATACAAACAAACGAAATATTCATTAGGCGAGGAATTTTTCAAGATTCCTTGAGTCCTCTCTGGTTCTGCCTAGCCCTGAATCCATTATCCAACATGTTAAACAACATGCAATACGGCTATAATATCAGACATGAAAAAAAACACAGTTTACACTCTCACATCTCATGTACATGGACGACATAAAACTTTATGCATCCACACAAAAACAACTTCATCAACTCCTACAAATCACACACTCATACACTAAGGACATACAAATGGAGTTTGGCCTAGACAAATGCAAAAAACTTCACATAGAAAAAGGAATCCTGAAGAAAGAAGATTTTGCACTTGGAAATGGAAACGTTATTGAATCCATGGAAGAGGGCGAGTTCTACAAGTACTTAGGATTCCAACAGGCCAAAGTAATAGAACATACACAAATAAAGCAACGATTAATTAAAGAATACCAAAGCAGGTTGAACGCTATACTTAGAACACAGTTAAATGCAAAACACACAGTTAAAGCAATAAACACATATGTCATCCCAGTACTCACATACTCTTTTGGAGTTATACATTGGACTCACACAGATCTCGAGCAACTCCAAAGGAAAACAAGAACAACACTTACTAAGCATAAACAACATCATCCTAAATCCGCCACAGAAAGATTAACCCTTCCACGTAAAGAAGGCGGACGTGGCCTGATTGACATAGTTAACCTTCACTACAAACAAATACAGTCACTGCAAGAGTTTTTCTACAAGAAACAAGAAACATCACAGTTACATAAAGCAGTAACTCTAGCAGACTCAAATAACACACCATTAAACTTACACTCACAACACACAGACATGACACAACACATAAAAAGCATAGACACCATCAAGCAATCATGGGCTCAAAAGGCACTACATGGCAGGCATCCTTACGACCTGGCCCAGGATTCTGTTGACAAAACTGCGTCAAACAGCTGGTTAGATCGGGGATGCCTCTTTGGGGAGACGGAAGGATTCATGATTGCCATACAGGATCAGGTCATAAATACTAAAAACTACAGAAAACACATACTCAAAGATACAACACTCACAAATGACACATGCAGAAAATGTCACATCATGCCAGAAACTATACAACACATCACTTCTGGTTGCAAGCTCTTGGCACAGACAGATTATTTACATAGACACAATCAAGTAGCAAATATAATACACCAAGAGCTTGCAAAGAAACACAAATTGGCAGACATCCACGAACCATACTACAAGTATATTCCACAGGCAGTATTGGAAAATAACACGCACAAAATGTATTACGACAGAGCCATAATCACAGATAAAACAATTTACCACAACAGACCAGACATCACACTAATTGACAAACACAATAAAATCACATACATTATAGACATAGCCATTCCAAACACTCACAATGTACAAAACACATGCACTGAAAAAATTAGCAAGTACACAGAACTTGCCCAGGAAATCAGGCATCTGTGGAGGATGGATAGGGTGCTTATTGTACCTGTCGTTCTCTCCTGTACAGGTGTGATACCACACACACTACACAAAAGCCTGGGAACATTACAATTGAGTAGAAATACAAACATCACACTACAGAAGGCCACTATATTGAATACATGCCACATTGTTAGGAAATTCCTTAATACTGACACTGACACAGACACACACATTTAATTTTAGTTTTGTTTTGGTTGCTACGCCTTGACTCTGGTCCGGCATAGTACACAGCCACCGGTGTGTACCGAGTATAACCCACTAAACCCAACACATAATAATAATAATAATAAAATTAATTATGTAATTACAGAAATTAAGGTTACAAAGGGAAATCGTGAAGTACTTTTATTATTGTAAATTTACTTTAAGTCCATTACAAAACAGAGCACTGCTATGCTCAAGTATGGTGAATTTTTCATCACACCTCTTCTGGATTTTTGATACCCTCAACTCAATGGAAAATAACAATTAAATGGAAAGGAGAAATGATTCTTGATTATTCCTGATATATTAATTATAATCAGTGGAATAGAAATGTATCGAAGCTCTATTTTTCTTACTCTTCCCATTAAAAAACACAAGGAAAGTCTGACTTAAATCAAAGAAAAAGAGAGGGGTTTTTAGATTTTAAGGATCAAGTTCAAACTAAGCTGAAGCTTTACTCTATTTCATTTAAACAGACTTGCAAATAACTTCAGGAAATTTATTACCGGTATTATATTCTAGTAGAAGTATTAGATTTGTTTAATTTTTCAATCATAAGATATCATTTTTGGAGACATGACACAAATTTCTATTGGAAATGATATGAAATAAAGGACATAGACTCAATCCATGTAACTATAAATCAATAGCACTGTTAAATACTTTTAGAAAACTTTTCTCAATGTTCCTGACAAACAGGACATATATGTCTACAAGAACACTATGATATCAATGAGCATTTGTCCCTCAAAAAGAAATGGCTTATGTTTTTAACAAAGAAAACTTTACACACAACTGATTTAAGGAAGTTTTACATAAATCACTGTTTTAGGGGACAAATTATATAAAATGAGAATTTCTAAACCCTTTGTAATTCTACTACAGGATTTGTGTAATATCCTTTGATTATTTGATAGCATAAGTTGAGACTATTCAGAAAAGATACAGTTAAGCAAAAAACTATTACAAGGAGAGCCCTTAACTCCCTATTATTTATAACATGTATAAATGACTTACCAGAAATATTTAATCTAATGGAACTATATGAATTTTTTAAAAATCACAACAAGATATACACTGCTACTACAAATAGACAATATACTACAATATAGTTTTATTAAAAGATAAATTGGACTGACTTAATCGTCTATCAAAAATTTATTACATAGCTTTGTGTTCCAAGCACAATTTTCATTGCAGCTTTCTTTGAAAAGAAATAATTTAGGTAAAAACAGTTAAATATAGAAAAATGATAGAACATAGGTGCTATTATTGTTTTATATTTAACTGTTGTTTTAAATCTAACAATATAAAAAAAAAGTTTTGGTTTGAATGACAATCATCTACACTTCCATTATAATGTAATACTGTATTTACAACTAAGTCTTTAATGATCTAACTGATATATAAACATAACCTTTATATCAAATTGTTGTTATTGAGATACTAATGGTAACCATTAAATGATTAGCTCATTATTTTGGTATATGTCTAACCATGATCCACCTTAGAGATCAGATTTTGGATACTCATTTAACCCAACAAGAAACAATGGAAAACTATTTCTCTATAAAAACTTGCCCATTTTTTGATCACTCGTTAATGTATTTAATATAAATTTTATTAATATTCAATTTACATTTCTACTGTCACAACTACTTTTGTTCTCCCCACTGTAAAAAGCTTTCGCTTAAATCAATAAACTCTTTAACTGACAAAAAAAAAATTCACAATAAATCCACTAAAAAAAATCCAACGAGTTGCTTAACTTTCCCAGCAACATTTAAAATTTTGGTGGTGTCCTCTGTTAAGATAATTTATTTTAAAAACTTTTTATATTATTAATTATTATAAATGGCAAAAAGTTTAATTTTGAGGGTAGGGATGGGCTTTGTAAAAAATTGTAAATGCTAATAACGAATAAAATTGTCATTAAGTTAGATATGACACACGATCTTCTCCCCTTTATCTCCCTACCTACTTCCTCAACCTTTAACCACCAAAA